TTCTTGGCCTGCTCTTCCTCCCAGCGACTTGTGGCAGAAGAGCCTCTCTGTGTTTTAAGGGCTTCTGTCATTATTTGTTGACAGCTATTCGCTGTCATTCATATTTATTGCCTTGCTTTACAGTATTCCTGTTATTTCTGCATTAGCAACCATTAACTATATAATGAAAGACATGAAAGTGTCATTGTGGCCCGTCTGAAGAAAATAATTCAATAAAAACAGTGTAAATTAATAAAAATGTAGGTGAAATGACCTAGTGCACAGTGTAACATTAAAAAACAAATTACAGCATAATGTTGTAATCTTCAACAATATAACAATAGTACTGTTAAAATCCTCTGGACATCAAAATGTGCATGACTAGTTATACTAATTATATTTACAGTTTTTGCTAAACTATGAAGTTTTGCTAAACTATTAAATATTACTATTTAAAATTTTCATTTTCAACTACATTTCCTATGCATAATTTTGGGACAGTTTATAATTTGACTTGCAAATATAAGGGCCAAAGCTCATCAAATATACACAACAGTAATTTTTTGACAAATAAATATATGGCAGCGCCTTTATTTTGTTAAATACAAGATTAAACTGACAGAAAAATGTGCTCCTTGCATTTTGGATGAAATTTGGATTTTGGATACTTAGAGGATTACTTCTATAGTGCTACTTATTGTAATTTTCAACTTGTTCGTCATCTTTTTCTAACAAACTGCTATTTCACTGGTGTAAAACTATGATAAATATTTACCGCAGGTAATCTACCAAACATAATTTGAAAAAGATGGAGACATCAATGCACTTTAAGGTAATCTGCATTTTGTACATATTTTCAAAGTGGAAAATATATTTCATTATAATTGAAATGCTTTTGTTGAAAAAATTTTTTAATAATTGAGAACTTTTGTGATGTAAATTGTCATCAACATTTTGCGCTAACCAACAGTCTAATAAAAATAGTCTAAATGTATATAATGATATGAGTTTAATTGCTCAGTGTGCTTAAATCCTACTGAGAAATGGGCAGAAAATGGGACATACATAAATATTCAGTGTGCTTAAATTACAGTACTATTGACTGATTGATAATCATAGGCAAATTGTGTTCAAAATAATAAATGTTCAAAAACATATATAATATAAATATTATTGTAGAGAAAAAGACACTTATTCTGAAGTTGCTGTTTGCTTTTTCCAGACACACCATAGTTTCTTCATATACACAGAGATACTTTGTAGATGCTGATTCGTGGATTTCCACAATAAACATTAATCACATTTTGACCTTTCTCTCAACCACTGAGAGCTCATTCATCCCCATTTGCCATGTAGCTCTGCTGGCCGATAATTGGCAAAGCAAAACAAAGATTAAACCCAATTTGAATGGTTTCATGTTGAGTCTTTGCAGAGCCGTCCGAATCGGGCTGCTCTGAGGTTCACCGACTCAGGTCCCGGGACAGTCGGAGGCGCCACCACCACAACAGCTAAATCAAAGCAGGCTGCTCTACTGTTTGTTTTGTGTGGGGCATGCAACAGTGCATTTCTGCAAAACCTTTACTAATAGAAACCAACTCGCGGCATTCAAACTCCATTTGTCTCATTAAACCATTAGCCTAAAGTTTAATCACAGGATGTTGTAAAATGATTTGGGCAATGAGTAATGACAATATTTCAAGTGCGTAATGACCAGAACAAAGCAGGCAAAGTTAGCTGGAGGAGTGGGTTGTTTTGATTTCTCACGGCATGTCTGCAGTGCAGCTACGGACCTCACCTCTTTAAATAATTGTTTACTTGTGCACTCTGTGTTGCATGAGAGCAACATCACAGCAGCATAACAAACTAATGACTAATTTCATGGCTGTTGAGTCATTTTAACAAGGCCATCATAAGGATTAGTTTAATGAGCAACTGTGACTAATCTGATAGCAGGTACAACAACAAAGACATGGAGAGGAGCTGTGTGGCTTAAGCACCTCATTAGAGATGGTCTGGTACATATGTCAAGCTCTCTCTTCATACGTGAGAAAAGTGCATGTGCAAACACAATCTGCTAAGTAATTATAAACAATAAAAAACCCCACAATACAGTAATGTTCTATTAAGATTGACATCTCAATTTCAGTCATCTTGGAGCATATGCAATACAATTAAAACTCTTAAGTGATCTATTTGCATTATGACCCATGAGGCAAGAACACATTTCTGCATTTACATGAAGAATAAAAGTACTTATCCTCCAAAGATTAAATTATAATTGTGTACATACCAAAACAGCTGTATGTTACTGGTTTATTTAGGGAGAGATTATGTGGTTCATTTTATTAGTTAAATGTAAACTTTTCTAACAGAGGATCTGACATCTGCTTGTGTCTTTGGAGATGTTAGTTTACTTTGCTTTGCTTTTCCTAGATTGTTCCAAAAATAGCATTAAACTCACCAATCTCCAGACAAACAGGTGACACCATTAGGTCAAGTTACAGGTCAGATCTGTGGAGAGGTGACACTGCCCATAATATATATATATATATATATATATATATATATATATATATATATATATATATATATATATATATATATATATATATATATATATATATATATATATATATATTTATATTTTTTTTTTTTATTATTATAAAAATCAAAGTTGTTTGCAAGAGATAATGGGAACTGTTCTATGCAAATAACTCCTCAAGATTAACTGCACTTATGTCTTTATCAAGAGTTGTTGCTGTAATCATGTCCAAGTGGATCAACATTCCTCTGTGCAACCCCGGGAGATGACCCCTAGGTGGCAGTGTGCCTCCTGAAAACACAGTTACAGCATCATTATTGCTATTGAAAAGCTGGGTTTTATTTACAGGCTGCCTGAGGAGCTGCTGAGGAACAGATAAGTTATGATGAGCCTTGGTGGAGGCCCTTTAAACAGCAGAGCGATAGGATCAGTCAGGCGGTCAGTGTATGTATAAAGTTACCCTCATCAAAGGCTGTTGTATGAGTTTGAATAGAGGATGATGGCTGTACTGCCTCTGCTTAGTGCCGGCATTTCCATCTGGCGCCAGGGCAGAGGAAACCCACTGAGACACACAACAACCCACACAGACACAGGGGTCAGCGGCTGCCTCCACGCCCCACCTCCGCCCCACTACTGTTCCCAGGACCGGAGCCTCTCATCGGGATGTCCCATCTCCAGCATTCACATTCTCATATCCTCCACAACCCCTAATGTTATCTCAAATATGAGTTCATAATACAGCTAAAGAAGGGTTCTGAATTAAATTACAACCTGAACAAATTTGCACACTAATACCACATTCATAAATATAATGGACTTTTTTGTTATTATCCGATACAGGGAATTTATATTGACATAAAAACACAAACTTAAAATAGGAATTACAAATTAATTATATCAGAATGTAGTCATATTATTCTGATATAATTTAGAGTAACTATATAACTATATAAAAACTATATATATATATATATATATATATATATATATATATATATATATATATATATATATATATACACACACACACACACATATATATATACATATATATATATATATACACACACACACACATATATATATGTATATATATATATATATATATATATATATATATATATATATATATATATATATATATATATATATCACACACATTTATAAATCACATCAGAAGCAGGTTAAACAGATTGTAGCCATAAACAGCAATGACATTATTATTGTCTACCATTATTGTACACATTTGTTTCTAACTTTATTCTAAGAATGTGCAGTAACACTTTTTAGACCACCTCATTTGAGTGACATCAGAGGAATTTGGTTTGGGTTGATCTTATTGGCTAAACCGCTCTTGGCAAGTGTCAGGAGGAATGCATGGGGACTCCAAGCGGTCAGGACAAATTAAACCTCCAACCTGCTATTTTACTGTTCAGATCTGATGATGCTATAAAGTGGGGGAAAATAGAGCGGGTTGATTTTATGTGATTTTCCCCTGGCTCCATATCTAAGCCTTTTTGGCACAGTGTGTTATGCCTTGTTCAAGCATAAGATCTGTAAATGCCCCTATAAATTTCCTTAGCACGTTATATGGTTCCATGCCCTGGGCCAAGACCATTTAAAGTATGTCACAGGGGAACAGCAGGGAGCTAAAGAAGCCCACAGGCTAAACAGGGTGTAATGTAGATTTAATTAACAAGCTGGGGCTCTCACACTCACGCAAACCATTAAAACACTAATACAACAGCACCAATACTCAACATGCATGTACCTTTTACAGTGAACACACACTCTCGATTTTCCTCCCCACATCTCTGGGTTTGGAGCGATGGTGTGAAATATGCACGTGTAAATGAGATGCAGAAGTGAGGCAGAGATGGAGAGAGGATGTGGCTTGGCTTTGAATTGCTTAAGTAAACTTTGAGGAACAAGTAGAATTATTTTATGCATTTTGAGAATACATTACAGTGTTGACATGGGACACACATCTCAAAGTTAACACTGTTAGATAGGTTAGTATGTTTATTCCTCTAAAGTTAAAGGTAAATAAAGACCAAATATACATGTATCCCACACTGATATTAAGCAATAAAAAAACAGGAAGTTTAACTATACAAATTTAGGAAATCCACATGAAATTCTTATCAGTACTATATAAACATTATCTATGTCTAAGATTAAGGTTCACTGTCCCCATGGAAAATTTGTCCTCTGCGTTCAGTGTTTCTAGGGCAACCTGAGTGTGCTGGAAGATCTTTCCTTTTGTGCATGTTTTTTAGGTATTTGCGTGTAAACGCAAAAGCTCTCAGCATCACTGGTATATTTATATTCATGTTGACGTCAGTGTCGACAAAAATGAGTCTTGGAAACAGAAGTCAAGCTGTTACCAGTGTGCAACGCCAGTTACCACAGTAAAGTTATTCAGTGACAATGAAGAAACAAATGTGTCAAGAAAAAAAAGTTAAGGGTGCATACGGTATTTTACTTAGTAGATTGAGAAATTGTTATATTTACAATATATATATTTTTCATAGATATTAGAATGAAACTATTGTACACAGTAAATTCTAACTGCTTTAACTACATACATTCAATTAGTTAGGCATGTATCGGTTCCTTTAAAATTGTGCAACAAAAATGTTAACAGGCAAAGCAGACGGTTTGTACACAAGGATAGTAAAAAGTGTCTACTGCATTTGATTTCCTACAATGTAATTCACTACAACATTAAAAATAAAGACAAACTCGAATAAATTCTAAATCTATAATCTTTAACTAAATGGTTGTCTAAGTCAAAAAATTTGAAATAAATAGAAATTTTAAATCTCTACTTTATGAAACATGTAAAGTACATTCATCATATTAATGGCAGCAAATATCTTTGTTTTTCTCAAATGTCCTGTTACAGTAAATGCTCTCCATATATTATGAATAAAATCTTTAGCCCCTTGCACTGTCAACAATGGCGTCATATAGCTCCCTCTCTGTCCATGACCTGGTTTCATAACATTCTGTAACAAATGACAAATGGTGAAAGATAATCATGCTTTTAAAGGCCAAGTCTGATACCATTTTCACAGTACCATTCCTTGAGACCACACCCACTTTTATCCAGAATTTACAAATTGCTGAATGCCAATTCGCAATAGACCTAAACCTTCTAGTCAATGCATCAGCAAAGGCTATGTAATTCCAGGTCTTAATATGATATTCTCAGAGACATTCACAGACAAAGCCTCTTGGCCTGTCCTCTTCCATGGCCTCTTTACCCTCACTTGTCCTGGTCCATGGGGTTTTGAACAGCTTGGTTATTATGGGCCTCCTTCAGGGCACTGAAGACTGGTCTCCATGGAGACTGGAGTCCGCTCCTCTTGACCTGGTTGAGGGCGGACAGGAGTCCGGTCTGGTCCCTGCTCTGGTCCAAAGTCGACTCCTGCTGCTGTTCGGAGTAGTACATCTCCAGAGCCGCCGGACTGCAGTGTTTATCCTGGAGAGGCACAGAAAGGTCAAAAACATGATCCGGCATACGCACAAGACTGAGGAAAACTTGGATAAACAAACCTCAGTCTAATTATTTTGCATTAATTTAAAAGACAGGTCATTACAAACACATCATCATTACATTTAAAACAGTCATGCATAGTGTATAGGGTATTTTTAAGTAAACACAATAGAAGAGCAAATTTTTCTAAATAAAAAAATATATATAGATATAAGATGAGATATATAAACTAAATATAAAAAAGAGCAATTCTAAACAGACCAATCTTCAAACGTCTCATCGGAAGAACCCCCTCCCTCCCCCAGCTGCCCCCCTTCACCGTTAAGCCTTTAATCACAGTTTAGTCACGCTCAGCTCTAATTAAAGACCCCTTGAATTCATAGGCCGGTATCCCAGCCTCTCACTGAGCAGAAAGCAGGCTAAGATGCTCCTCACTCCTCCTCCCTCTGATTTTAAACTGCGAGACTCTTAAACTAACATGCGTACAATGCCCCAAAGGTGAGAGTTAAAGATAATGAGATTTGGTTTCCAGGCTTTTCAGCTTCAAGAATGCTATTCAAATGACACATGAGAGAGTGTGCTGGGAAACAAATAGGTATATGGTAGAATAGCCATGAGGAAACTAATACTAGGATCATATACAAAAGGTAGTCCCGCTGTGAAATAAGCCTCTACTTACGCACACAAAAAATCAAAGTTAATCTCACAACAATTTGTCTGTCATTTCTGGCTCTGGAGACATTGGAGACATTCAAGACTTAATAGAGATATTGGCTAGTATTTGGACAGTGCATATTGTGCACTTAAGAAGCAAACATTAATAGGTATACTTATTTTTGTTCCATTTTGTAAATATGCAATATGGTGATAATTATACCACAATAAATAATAGATAAATCTTAACGTATAGAACTTATTTGCATTACACTTGTAAATATAATTGTGTACATTTAGAATAAATACAAAAACAAAATGAATAAATACTGCAACTGTAACCACCCATGCACATATAGGAGAAAATACATAAAATGGAAATATGGTTGTGTTTTAAAAATAAAAAATTATCAATAATATTCTTTAGGTAGTGAAGAGCCTACCTTAAGAATAAATCCGTCTGGGCATGTGAGCTGGTCGTACCACATTTCCTTGTACATGAGCAGGAGGAGCAGACTGGTTAGGAAGCCCAACGTCATGAGAATTAGACCTGTGATCTGCAAATAAAACACAGATAGGTTTGTTGTAAATAAATGCTTGCAAAAGGTTTGGACAATAGTTAATGCAACTATGAGGTGTGTATCATACCTTGGCTTTGTCTGAAACGTCTCTGTAAAAATGAATATTCAGCTTCTTAATACTGGGCATAAACAGTGGCCTCTTCTTCTGTTGCAGTTGGAACTGTGTCGATGTCTTCACAATGACCTACAGGAAAACAACATAGAACTATTATCTCCAAATATCAATGGGATTATGTAACTCAAACTACTAAATCAAACTACCTGAAATGATTAATCTCTACTCACATCACATGAGTTTTCAACTGATCTGTTATCTTAAACCATGCTCTTCCCTGTGTCTCTTCAGTATTCTTGTATTTACCATTGATTTTACATTCTTATGATAAAAACAGCATAAATTCAATTTTAAAACATTACCTTGTCTGTGAAAGTTTGCTGTAGCTGGTTGACCTCCAGAGGAGTGATGAGGGGAATGTTATCAAAGCCATCATCTACTGAGGGCTGCTTGTCCAGTTTATCAGACAGATTTGCTCCAAGCTTCACCATGGCTCCAATGGATTCGTCTGATTCTAAAAGTTAAAAAATGCTGTATATATTATCTCTCTTTCTATGAACCTGTAAAGCTCATGACGCCAGCACTTTAAAAAAAAGTGTGACTGAAAGTACAGTTATGTAAACAAGCAGTAGGTTATTATACAGTACAAGTATAACAGTTTCTCACTGCTAAGGGCCCCCACACTCTATTAATCTATATGACTCACTGCCAGTGAGGCACAACATTGCTTATACACTAAAGGACTTATTTTATTTGGATGTTAAAGTTTTTCTCTACAGCAATCGTCTCTCTTAATCAGAATCTGAAGCTCAACAACAAATGTGAAATTTATCTAATACATATAAAATACATCTCACACATTGTAAGACAACAGCCTGAACATAGGCCTAACTGTCTTGGAGGTGCGTGGGTGGTCATCAGTGCTGACCATACTCAGAGCAAAGTGTGCAAGCAGTGAATCATCAAGAACCTGTGATTCCCACCAGCACACACTGATCCCACACAGAGGAGAACAAAGACAAAGGGTCCAACAAATCAAAGGCATCATCGGTGTAATAAAACCAATTACCGTAAATAATATGCTTTTGAAACACCTTATTTTATTTGCCATTTCTGTCCATGGTTTAGCGTTTGAGCAGTATATGCATATGTCTGAACTTGGTGCAGTATTCATACACACTTACCAAGGCCTATAGGCTGACGCAGTGTACCCGGTGCTACTGTAAAATAGTCAATTCGATTTGTAATTAACCACAGCTGACAATCGGGATGTGGGATGAGTATATGGTCATGGTGCAATCTCTGGTCAGATATTTAGGATCTTAAATCTGGCTTTTCCAATCAACTAGTTCCCTGTAGAATTACCCCGCGACCTCTATTAACAGTCGCAATAAATCAGTACAATAGATGAACAAAGCAAGACTTACATGTGTTTGCTGTGCTCCTCTCGGCTCCCTGTCGCGGTGGATATGCGGGACAAGCGGATGCTGTGGGACTGGCCGTGAACGCACCGGTTGCCGTGGTGATGTGTGATTCACGGCGGCACTGCGCATCAAATCAGCATCCGCGGCGCATCGGTGAGATCAGTAGGAGAAATAGCCTAAACCCGAACCCTGTTGTTTTTGACTGGAGTATCGACTTTGTATTAGAGTTTTAACAAAGAAGCACGAACCGTTATGAGGAAGCATGGGTAAATTGCTTAAACCAATGTAATTATTCTTTATTATGCTATCATAGATTGTATATAGGCTATAGAGTTTGTGTGTACTGCCTGCTGAGACATCTCATACATTTAAACTGAATAGCCACCAAAGCCTAAAGCAATCAAGTACATTTTATTATATTAAAGCTCATCCCGTGGTGATCCAGGGCAATTTGAGCAATTCAAATGTAGTGCTTATTATTGTTGATAATGTTTATTATTCCTGATTTGGGGAGTTTGATTTGTTTATAGGCGAGGTAAGTATAATTGGCTTAGCTACAGAGCCACCTTGTGTTCACTTATAAATCCTACAAGTGAGGTTGTTGCAGCAGGTTGTAGAGGATGGATCTACTTCAGTCATCTCAAACTCAAGAGAAAAAGGCAAACAGAAGTAAATATGTAAAATGCACAATTTATTATTAACAAGAAAATGCATATTTAAAAAAAATATATACAAATACAGAAAGAATTTAACACAGATAGATAATCAAAATTACACATTTATGATCATCTCCAGGGGACAGATTTTAGTGTCTGACTTCTGTATGGAACAAAAAGAACTGAATTAATCAATAATTTTATACAGATTTGTAAATCGAAAAGTAAAATGAAATACCAGGGATTTCATAAGGCCAAAACTCATCACAAGCTGGACAGCGGGGATCAACTCTGCCCTTGAAGTACCTGGCCACACACGGATTGTGTATTTTGATTCCACACGTGGGACTGTCGCAAATTTGGCACTAGAAAACCAAGACTAAAGGGTCAGATTCTAATGGCTGAGAGTGTACTTTGAAAATAAATAGACAGAAGTGTACTCACTTGGAAAGCAACGTTGTGACAAATATGACACATTTTGAGCTGGTCTTCATACATTCTTCTAAAGTATGGCTCCATTTCAATGATGCATCTGATGGAGAAGGTGAATTCCCCTCTTTTCTGAAGGAGACAAAAAAAAATAAAAATAACAATGAACCAATACTTACACAATATATTATTCTCTAATGGCTGGATATAGACAAAACAAAACTTACCTCATTGAGCCATTTATCCTGCACAAGCCGCTTCAAAACCTGCTCTGCCTCACTTTTCTTAAGTTTTTTTGTAGTCAAAGTGTCAGCAAGGTTCAGGACATCAGTGGAAGAAACCTTGCCATTTTCGGAGCTCATAATTAGATCCATCTGCATACAGCAAGCACAAGCATAAAACAGACTGGTCTCAAAATGACTGGAAAAAAGTTAACACATATGTCTTTGTATCACTCACCGTTTTCCTAAATAGCTCCAGTTCATTGTCAGCATAATCAGACGACATTCTAGTCACATCTGTCTGAGCCATGTTCACCTACACACAATGTACAGATATCACCAAGTCAGGTTCATGTTTTTTCACTGTCCAATCAATATTATTAATTCACAAACATATGCAACACACAATTTTCATTTTTAACTGTTTCATTAGACAGCTTGGACATTAAAACATGAGTGACTGTTTGCATTTTTTAATCAACATTTTTGCTGTCAGATTTAAGCTTTTGGTAGGAGTTTCAAATGTTGTTAAATGAAATTATATCTGAACAACAAAACATGATATCTGAGTTTCACACTTACTAATGCATAATACTGCTGGCCATTATCCTCTGACATCCCCTTTCTAATCTGCATGAGCATAGGCTGGAGTTTTGAGTTGATAGTTTCAATAAAATCATCCAGCTTGTCAGGGACACAATGTGCTGTCAAGAGTAAGACAACAACTAATCACATGCTGTTTCACACGTATTCATCTGGTACATATCAGTACAAAAATACCATATTAACCAATATTATTACCTTTATGGATGTCACAACAATGTTTGTAAAGTGCACGGGCTTCTTTTTCATCCACGACACTTTTAGACATCATGGACTGGAGAAACCTGCGATGGCTGTCTCCTAACTGCGGAGCCATGATCTAGATCAGAAAAAACACTGATCTGTATGCAAGATAACTGGCACAAATATTAGTCTGAGCAAATACTGTCACTTTATCATCGTATCTTATTATGTAAATGGCAGTTAGTTAATGCTAACATTCAGCTCTGATCTGTTCTTCTTACAGTAAAAGTAACGCTTTAGCGCAGTGAATAACGTGAGGAGGGGTTTCTACCGGCAAATTCAAAACGTCAGAAGACAGAACAGGCTATTTTGATTGTTATAAGTAGCTATTTCTCAAAGGTTTCGTTACATTTCTAGTGATTGCTTACCTGTTATAAGTGCAGGCTGCGCGCTTTGGCTTTGGTCGAGTTTTCCGACTCCGACTTCCTTCTGTCTTCAATGACCTTAGCGCCCTCTACCGGCTGGGAAACCACTGTCTTCGCAGAATATACTAAACAAAAAACTTCAAAAGCCTATTCAGGGATCCCCAAACTTTTTTCAATCAAACAGACCAAGTGGAAGTCTACAGACGGGTGATCGAAAACGTAAATTGCGTTCATCTTAGGTGTGAAAATCGCCATGTTAGTTAGAGGCTACAATGAAACTGGATAATGTGGGCCAATTCACCAGAAAGTGAAAATGAAAGTAGCGGTACTGTTGTCCTGTTAATACTGACCTGTAAAATGACCTTTAGGTGGTTAAACATAATGTGAAATCACCCAGACAACAGGTTTTATCTGAATTCTTTATTACACTACCAAATAAAATATGGTACAAGGTGTCGAAGTCTTTGATAACAATAAAGCTTATTATTAACATTATTTAAATACAGTTTCTGATGTTGAAGATATTTACTGCGGCATTCAAACTAATAATCATTGTCTGTTTCCCCATCCAGAAACATCAAGCTCAGAAGGTGCACTAAATGGCTCTTAGTCATCAACATCTCAGCAGTATGTTCACACCCACATAAAGCCTACCTCTAGTATTTTAGAAATACAGCATTGGGACCAAACTGGTCAGTTAACCTTGAGAGGGCATATTATTTTACAATAAATACAAAAATCAACACATAAACCATTTCCACCAATCTGGTTAATAACTAAAAATTGCACATGTGGTGGTATTGAGTATGGTACATGTTTTTTTTAAATGCATTATAGTAGGTGCAGATGTAAACATACTGAAAGGAGTTTGAAGACTCTCTCGACATCAACAAGGTCAAAAAATGGTATTCTTAATTAGTTTATTTACTTTAAATGCACCCTAAATATTCCAGTCTCCCTTACATTCGTATTAAAATTATTCATCATAATTTATTTGACTGCATTGTATTCTGTGGAAAATGCACAAATTTCTTCCTCACTTATTCCTTTCGAGAACAATATGGTCATATTGGTGCTGCCGTGGTGGGTGAGGAGAAATGAAAACCTGATATATACTGAAAAGTAAACCACCCTCAACACAAAGGAGGTGCAAATTTCTATAGTGTTGTGTTCAAACTTATTTGATCTGAGACACCCACTCAACACGTTTACTTTGATACTTTTGTTTCTGTAAAAGTATCTCATTGGGTCCCTCAGTGTGCTTTACAAATCTTCTAATATATTCTGATGGCAGCAGTTGGCTGAGAGAAATACCTGTCAATCACAAATAGGAGGAGGAATAAACTATCACAAAAAATATCATACAAATGCATATAAAGTACATGAAGATGATGATATGCGCTACAATCACAGTGTTGCCTTGAATTTCCTATGAATTACCTTGATTTCAGTGACTAGAAGAAAACTGTCCAAGTGTATTAATGGACTGTTGTAACTTCTCTTCTTTTGCTCTTCTGCTGTGGCAAAGCTGAAAATCAAAACAGGAGTCAAATACAGAACTAATGTCACATGTCCAGCTCTGAGACAGGCCTCTTACGGTTCTCTTCTCCATAAAGCTGGTGAGGAATTCATCTATATCAGTGCGTCCTTCCAAAAAGTTCTCTGCTGTCTCCTCTGACTCTTCCTCTGCCTGATGAGCTGCAACTTTTAACCGAGCCTGAAGAGTGCTTAAACTGCAACTCTGCCAAAAACAGTAAAACAAAATAACTCCAATACAGCAGCATTACAAGTGTATAAACCTGTTTACATGTTATTTTCTCACCTCACTCAGTTCATGCTGTCTCTGCATCTTTGTTTCAAAAGCTGACTTCATCTGAGTGAGCTGTTCATACTGCCAGACAAAAGCACAAAAAAAGCATTTCTTACCCTTGGATCAAGCAAACAATCAAACTTTATTTATCCTCAAGGGTCAATGGGATTAGTAGGAATGGGAATGCTGCTGGTGTGCACAAGCCCTAACTAAAACAGGGGTACATACTTTGCAAAGCATTTCTTGTCTTTTACCCTCCAGCTGTGGCTCTATTTGAAGGTTTTTCTCTGTAAAAGATGGGCAGTTAGGCAGGTAACCTTTTATTCTGAAACTTTTCACAGAAAAGCTGTACTTACTGGCCATGTTAACAATACTTGTAACAAGATCTTCTTTATCGCTTGCAATTTGTTTGAGTTGTGGCAAAGACACAAAGAATTCAATCAGCACATCTTCATTTTCTGACATGTCTGACAACTGGGTGAGGCTAAAATTGAAAATAAACACAGTCATTCATCAATACAGAATAAGACTAAATGTTTGAATACATTAGCTTAAAAAACATACTTTTTGTCACAAAGTTCAGGAAAAGCCTCTGGAATCTCTGGCATCTTGTAAAGGTGTCCATTCAGCCCTACCTAAAATGTATGAAAAAACAAATGAGCAAAATCCTTTAAATAAATACACTTTATTATTTCCAAATTACAATGGGTAAATCTTGTAAATCGTGTTCCAAATGAAACATCTACATTTAAATAAGTATATGTTTAGTAGTTTGCTTAGTAGTTCATTTCGATATAGACCCTAATGCTGCTGACCTGTAGGTCTCCTGTGGGCACAGGCATGGGCAGGTCAGGGATGAATCCACATGGAGGCGGGGCTCGAGGAGGTCCATGCACAGCGTCTGACCCGGCGTGAGATGTGGGGACAGGAGTAGGTGAAGGAGCGCCAGGTGGAGCCTGTCCTGGACTGATGTGGCGAGGACCATAATGAAAACCCTGAGCTGGGTATGGAGCCATGCCGGATGACTTGTACATGCTGCTTTAGTTCAAGAAAGATGTTAAATATTAGAATGAATAAGTACTCCACAAGATGCGAATGCTGATTTTTGATTAATTCTAATAATTAAACTGGTAGGCTTACAATGGAAAGCCACTTGGGCCAGAGGATATTAAGGCAGGGGGACTCTTCCAAAGCTCATCCAACAAAGTCTGTATAACTTTACCCAGATCTGAATGCATTCCAAACTGAAACATGTTAAGAACAATGTTACAAGAGCAATTTCACAAGCGGTTCAACTACAATCAGATGAAAAGAGTAAGATTACCATGGAATTAAAAAATAAACTAATCTTACTGGGTTATGGTCAGGGGAAAAACTTACATTTGTAATTAATGGACATGTGACAATAGTCCCATTATTGCCATCAACTAAATGGTGCCCAACTGGAGGGTAGACACTAACCATTGGCTTTTCTTGAGGGAACTGAGGAGGAAGCAAGCTACAAAACAAAGAAATTAAGAAAGAAAGATTAAACACAAATGTATTTGTATTTGGCTTCTCTTCTTCTAATGAAGTTGATTCAGGATGATAATGTTTACTGCATGTGGAAACAAAGCTAGGGGAAGGCTGCACAATTAAAAGTACAGTATGTAACTTTCTAGAGGTGTCACCTGCAGGATTCCATGGAAAATTAAAACTTTTACATACTTTGGAAACTTTTCCTGAAGAATATTTCCTTAAGATATGTTTTATGCCAAATAGTGGAATATTTCTGCCAAAGAAACAACATTTTCTACAATTCCACAATTTCACAACATTTCCATGGAAATGTCAGGTTTGTAGAAATACAAGCCTGCTCAAATTAAGGATCTATGTTTTTCTATGATTTTCAGTGCAATAAAACAACAATAAAAAACATAATTTTTATGTTAGTTGATTTGGTTAAAAAAATATTGTGGCTTTAAGTATGGAAAAAAATCAAATCATGATTGTTTTACTAATCACTTAATTAGTAAAACAATAATTTGTGTTTCATGTAGTTGAATTATAACCTTTCATTATTAACAACATCATTTTAGTGGTTGAAATTACTTAATTACTCATTAGAGCAAACTTAAAATTAAGAAAATGCCTCATGCTTTCTTCTGGTACATAGTTAAATCTATAACCCGTATCTATTCCCCTTTGTGTTTTTTTCAGTATTGGTGTAATAATTGCCCAGCCCTACAGTTAGGTAATGTTTAAATGTATTTATTAATAGTTTCAAGATTGTTTAATGGATGTGTCAGAGTGACAATTTTCATATCAAATCCCAGATGAAATCATGTGACAGTGTGTACTCACATGTTAACACTAATGGTAGAGTTGTTAACTGTAAATGGTATTCGGTACTCCACATCCTTCTGAATTTCTGCAAGACTAGAAGTAGCAAAGACAAACCATAGAAATGTGATTAGGCACATCTTGAAAACATTAACATTTTTTCATGTTATTCAAATCTATTTCCCAGTAGTGTATAAAATAATAATGAATAGTGGTGGCACTAACCTCATATGACAAAAAAACAATCACAGGTGTAAGGCAACAGAGCCTGAATAAACAAATGCTGATAATACTTTAATCTCTGTATCTAATTAGCTATCTACCAAGCCACCAGTCACATGTGTGTCTACAGCAACATGTGAGACAAGCAAAGCTCCCAAACGCCAGTGCGATCACAGGACAGTTAGTCAAGTCAATCTTTATCGGACGATTTCGTTTCACAAATTGTAAATACCATTAAAAGTAGACAGTAGACTTATGGTTACATGTGTGACTTCAGAGTAAGCTGTCAATATAAACTACGCTACCACACAGCTATAAGTAGTCAAGCGCTACATAGTAAATCACAGACAGACACCAGTCAAACAAACTTTTTCGTGTATTTTACCCACAGAGTGTCTGGTTTTACCTCGGGTGTGCAGCTTTAAGCGACTCGATCTGCCGCTGTCTTTGTTGCTGTAAGCTGTTCAGAGGTGGGAGAGGTCCAGATCCTTTGGACAGGGGGAAAAGCCAGTTCATCCTCTCCTGGCGAGACCGGTGGCGTGTACAGAGTACAGAAACTGTGATCCTTTCAACCAAAGTCGAAAAACGGAATATAAGACAGTCGTCTACTGTACGGTGTGAGCTTTGCGATGCTAACTGTTGTTAGCCAGTCGTAGCGTGTTGGTGTTGAAATGTTACGGGCTTTATACGTCTCCTGTCAGTAAAAAGACGCATGATATATTCCTGAATGGCAGAAAATCTCTTTATGTACTAAGTGCTAACTTGAGAGTAAAATTGTGCCCGAAACGAAACCGGTGTATACCAAAGCAAGCGATAAAAACAACCTTGTGAGTAAGCAGAACATTTACGGTCTATGAAGCACAAGCTCAACTTAGTACGTACGCGTTACGTAAACCAACGTGCAACGTCATTTCCGGAGAATTTGTTTGGAGAGTTTGGATCTATTAGACCTGATCCATCAGACCTTCACCTAAACTCTGTGAGGTTTATAAGGAGCTGCCAGCTTTTTAAAGTACATTTGCATGGTAGATTAGTAGTGATGAACAGAGCGCTGTGGTGTTTATTTCTTATTATCATTTTAAGTCGTGCATTATAGCACTTCACTCAGTTTCTCTTTCAGTCATGAAAAAATTCACTCAAAATACTTGGTCTGCATGGCCAAGAGAAGACATTAAATAACAGGGTTAGATATGTCTACTTGATAGGCTGATCTTGTATGTCTCAATGTTAGGGAAAATAAGTGTTATCCTAACAAGTCCTACTGATTTATTTACCATCAGTCCGGGACCTGGTGAACTTAAATACTCAACACTGCGCGTTAGTATTGGCTACACAACCCTGACTGCGCTTCCACACACGGAGGTTTAAACAAGAACTAGGAAGGACAGCTGGTTGAGATGCATCCTGCTGCAGTGAGATGAGCTGATCAGGGAAACTGATAATGTTAATGAAGGACAAATTCTGTAATAGGTGAATGACAACATAGCTACTAACCAAAGAGAAATGTTAACAATGAACTGGAGGTGGAAAAACTCCACAACACTCACGTTTTCACTCCTGAACATCTGATTGTATTAGTTTTACTCTTTTGTAACATTGGAACATACAACTGCAACACTGTTACACTCATCAGTTCTTGCACTATCTTCTGTCACAAACACAAGGCCTTAGCACATACCACGTGAAAGTCATGTTTACATTTCAAAAGTTTACTCTCCACGAAAATCAATTAAATACTTTTTAAGTGGAACATGGCACTAAAACAGTTAACCATTTGAAACTGGTCAATCACAGCTTTTTTGATTTTTTGTTTTAAACTTTCCACAAATTTTAGTAATCAAATAATTGCTATCTACTTAAAACTGACAGTGGACCATGCCAAAATGAGTCCTCTGCATTTGTTACTTGCAGAGGTGATATATTTAAAATGCTCAAAAAATGATGACTTTCACACAAATGGATTTCAACAGCGACGGTCTGCTCTGGATTATTTTTCTCATAGACTTCCTGAGAAATATAAATATACTATATGTTAAAAGTTTGAAAGTTTGCTGAGGGCTAATCAGCTACGTGGTAACTAACAAGACCTATAATTTTATGTAAAATCTGTTTCTAAAATTTTAAGTGGGTGGGACTGTTTGAGCTCCTTACCAAAAAAAGACAGATTTATGTCTCATGTACTTGCAATGTAACCTTTCATTACTGACTCTGTCATTTAGTGGTTGAAAATGTACTCAGTTTAGTTAGGCTACTTAAATAAAAGATACACAAACAACAACTCAACTAAAGTATCAGTAAAGTTTTTGATCAATAGAAGCTACTGATGTCTTTTTTTAAATTGCTCTAAGTTAAAGATGGAACTCAAAATCTTTAGCAAAATGTCACCATGAATGTGCTAAAATACTTCCTCAGATCATACAGACAGATAAAGAAGTATATAAGTAATAAGTATAAGTAATAAGTATATATTGAATTGGTGGTAGGTACAAAATGGTAAAGTAAAGCTGGTCACGTGATCGGCTGTGAGCTGGAGACATCTGTCACAGTGAGGGACAGGAGGACACTGGACAAACTGCTCTCCATCATGGACACTCCTGCTCACCCACTGCACCAGACTACAGCGGGACAGATAATACTCCCTACAACTGTGCAACAACTCACCCACTGCATCAGACTATAGAGGGACAGAGGCACTCATTCTCCAACAGGCTCCTACAGCTCTGCTCAAACAGTGAAAGATGCAGGACTACATTCATACTATAATACTCCCTACAACGGTACAACAACTCACCTTTATATAACAGATAACCCTATTGTCCTGTCAATCATCACATCATTGCTGCACTGTCTTCCTATGACCTCTTGTAAAAAGTGAAGATTTAATATTTTTTATTACTTATTTTTGTATTTTATTTTGACTTGTACATATATGTTATATAATTATGTCTTACTTCACACCAGTCTCTTGCTATCTTTTTTATGGTGATGTGTGAGCTATTGTGTCTGAATAATTTTCCTTGTGGATCAATAAAGTTTTTATAAGTCTAAGTGTAAGTCTAGGCAAGGGGTGGGCATTTTTTTTTTCCCATGGGGCCATATGAGAAACAGAACATATTGTGGAGGGCCAGGCCAAAATGCTTAACTAAATTCTGCATAATATGAATTGTATTTCTTTATAAAAAGTAGTAAATAGCATTGTTATGACGAGCTGGTCAGACGCGTAAGAGTTTATGTTATGACTAAGCAATGAAAAAGTGAGGTTGCCTTATAAAAAATGTCATTAACAAAACATAAAATAAAAGAATAAAAGCAATGCTGTTTTAGTCCATGCATGAGGTAAAATTATAAAATGTGTTTATTTTGTAATTCCACATGAATTTACAGGACCGGTCAGAGGCAACCACAGAAATATTATTCAACGTCCAAACAGACCCCCAGCCACTTCATATTGGAACTTATTGCACGGGAAGATTGACTGGAGCAGGGCTTGGCTGGTTGGCGAGAGGCTCTGCATTTATAACTAAATTAAAGAAGTTAATTTCAAAATTCTCCATAATATTTACCCAGCCAAAAAAGAGTTAGACAGATTCAAATTAAAGATTGATGACAACTGTGACTTCTGTCACACCGAAATAGAAACAATCACTCACCTGTTTTACCACTGTACATACAGTAAGAACATCTGAAACCATATACAACAACTCATCCAAATCAAAACCAAACACACAATCCGTGTATCATTCGTTCATTCGTTTTTCAATATAAAACCAAAAATAAGAAAACGAAAAAACAACAGTTTTCTTCGTTATTTGTCTCCAAAACCAAAATGAAAAAACGGATAACGATTCGTTTTTTCAGTTTTCGATTTTGTGTTTAAATGAAGAATGGAAAAAACGGATAACGGCCGTTTCCCGTTTACGTGACTCCCGTGACTGCGATGCCGGACTTTTGCACCGCGTACGGACTGAACCAGGACTGATCCAGGTCCGAGACCAGACCGAGACCAGAGCGGGACTCAGACCGGGACCAGAGCGGGACTGAGACCGGGACCGAGACCGGGACTGAGTCTCAGTCTCGCTCTGGTCCCGGTCTGGTCCCGGACCTGGTCCATCTGAACCAAAAGCTCTTAGTTCGGTTCGTTTTCGTTGGGGTGAATGCGTCAGTCGGAGGCTTTGCACCACCTCGGAATCAGCCGCGGTTCTTGAGCGCGGAGGACCAGAGCAGCTCTGTCCCGGTCTCAGTCCCGCTCTGGTCTCGGTCTGGTCTCGGACCTTGATCCGTCCTGATTCAGTCCGTATGCGGTGAGACTGGGACCAGACCGGGACCAGAGCGGGCCTGAGACCGAGATCGAGACAAGACCAGGACCAGACCGGGACCAGACCGGAGGCTCAGAGCCCACGGCAGGGCCGGAGCTCGAAGCTGAGGCTCGGACCCCGTGGAGGCCCGGAGTCAAAGCTCGGAGTCCGGTCTGGTCCCGGTCTGGTCCCGGTCTGGTCCCGGTCTCAGTCCCGCTCTGGTCTCGGTCTGGTCTCGGACCTGGATCAGTCCTGGTTCAGTCCGTACGCGGTGCAAAAGTCCGGCATCGCAGTCACGGGAGTCACGTAAACGGGAAACGGCCGTTATCCGTTTTTTCCATTCTTCATTTAAACGCAAAATCGAAAACTGAAAAAACGAATCGTTATCCGTTTTTTCATTTTGGTTTTGGAGACAAATAACGAAGAAAACTGTTGTTTTTTCGTTTTCTTATTTTTGGTTTTATATTGAAAAACGAATGAACGAATGATACACGGATTCAACACTCGATCAGCCTCCAGGAAAGTGACGTCCAGTTCTATTTCACCAGCCCCTCCAAAAACCCCAAAGATCTTGAATTCCTCATTCAGACTCTCATTATGCTGCCAAAATATCACATACACAAAACCAAATGGGCTCAAAATAAACCAAATATTCATCAATATAATATCAAAATCCAACAATACTTTCAAACGATAAAACAGGTCCAAAACAAAAAAGCAGTTAAAACTTACAATATCTTTAAAAAAGTATAGTATAGCTTTATTTAATTTATGATTTATTATTTTGATTTTATTTATATATATATATATATTTTTTTTTTTTTGTTGTTGTTAATTTTGGTTTCATTCCTTCTGCTCCCCTGTATGATAATTTGCAAACCACCCCCATATTGTAGAAAAAAAAGACATATGTATGTATGTTTATGTGTATGAATGTATATGTATATTTACAACAATCCAATCTGCACATTATACTGTATATACATTTATTGTTTTATCGTGTTGTAATATTTTTGTGATAAAAAATAGAGGTCAGATCCAGGAGGTGCACATTACCTACAACTGGCCTAAATGCATGGTAAGTTGTGGCGAGACAACAGTTTAACAAGACATTTTAAATTCCAATGTTGACTTCTTTACTATATTCATACCATATAAACACCGACACACATCATTATTGTTTACAATTTTCCGGTAACTACTCTGATCATGTTCTTCCCCTCACAGCTCCAGAAGGAGACAGTGAACGTTCATCAAAGGTAGAAAACGTATGATGTAAATCATTATTCTCTACCCGCTTCGCGCTCAGGGAAGAACATCAAGCCTCATCATCGTAGCTAGCGAGACCAAACACTTTAGAAACACATTTCTCAAGTAAGAAACTATAGAAATGATCCCTGAAAGTATAGTCTTAACCTGAAACCCTCATCCGACCGGACACTATTCACTGAGATACCAAAGTCGGTCAGAGTTTTTCAATAGCGTCACGAAAAAGCTACAATCCCAAAAAACTTAACTCAGAAAAAGCACAGACGCTACAAACTCACAGCAATTCAACTAAATAACACTGAAGCTCAACACATGTAAACACTACTAAAAAGCGAAGCGAAGTTTTACAATATTTCCCAGCATGCTTTGCAAGAAAGGCCCAAGACGAACATGATTTTAATTTTACACTGCGGCATATGAGGGCAAATACGTTGATTGTGTGAAAAGGCCGCGGTAGTTATGTATAATCTAATACACGAAGTAGTCAACGCTATGATTGCTAAAACCCAAAACATGAACAAAACGAACATTCCGTCTTTTTAATGCTACCGTGCGGGTCGGCTCCCACATAACCATAGTTCCGCTTATTCAAATTCATGACTAAGGTTCATCTTTCTCACATGTCCAAAATATAATACAAAAATGTCTGTCAGGACAAATTCAGGCAAAAATTAATAAAATATCCTTACAACTATAACTATAACTATAAATATATATATATATATATATATATATATATATATATATATATATATATATATATATATATATATATATATATATATATATATATTATACTTTTTTTTCAGTCCAGAAAAGTGCAGTACTGGGAACAGCAAAGATACTGCGCAGAACTCTCAAGCTCCCAGGCCTCTGGTAGAGGACCCGAGCTGAATGAGGGTGAGAGAGACCTACCACCGTGGAAGGTGAGAAACACACACATATATATATATATATATATATATATATATATATATATATATATATATATATATATATATATATATATATATATATATATATATACACATTTTTATTTTTTTTTTTACAAGATGGCGCGTGGTCACAAGGTGGCAGCATTTGTCTATGATTTGACCACAGAAATCTGACTTCGGATTAGAAATTATTGTTGGAAATGTAATCGATGTTTTATCAATTCAGTTACAAATGTATTAACGTATTTCAATTTACTTACCCAAAGAAGAATCCAGGGAGTCAAAAAAAACTAAACTAAGCTAAGTCACTTAGCTAATAAATTATCTCACAAGTCTACATCGAAATTTATTCATTTTTTAATATTTGCTAAGTGTACGTAATTTTTCTAGTATATGTTTATGCCTACAAGCGAAATTAAGTTACTAATCGACAAAGTAGCTGCAAAGTTACATAGCAAATTGCTTGCGTTCATCTTACTTCCATGATTCCATCAGGTCCTTCACTTCCGTCCAATCAGAAACTCGCGCATTTTCTTTAAATTATTGGAAACATTTATTTCATGCACTTGGCTGTACACAAAACACGTGTGATGCACTTGACTTTAGTGTTTATAAAAGTCTCATTGTCAACATTTGCCTACAAGGCTAGGTCTACATCTTGTTGCATATTATGCGAAAGAGAAAAGGCGCCCAAATACACGTGTCTTATTATGAACGTTTTGCATACATCTAAATGGAGGCAAAAATGAAATTTGTTGAACTGTTATTAAGAATTTAGCCTATTTATTGTTGTGCTTTGCCCTTTGTAGCACTTATATAATATTTTCTTATGGCCCAAAAATTTACTGGGGTATCACTTTGTCAGACACAATCAGCAGGCTATACTCTACTCTGAATAAGAAAAGTGCATAAGATATATATATAATTTTATGCCAGGGGTAAGTTGTTTATAGCCTAGTAATATTTACAGTCTTTAAAAAAAAAAAAAAAAAAAAAAAAAGCAACAAAAGAAACAATCCATTAAAATATGATTGATGACAAATAGGCCATGCTGATGTAGGTCATTTACAGCATAATAAAAAATTACCTAAAGTAAAATAAACTCCAGTTTTCCAGTGGGACTGAAGACTTTTCACTGAAATAACACTTCATATCATTCATTAAATTACAAGTTGAACCAATTAATACAAATCTAAACTAGGCTTTCATATAGACCTATAGGCTATAATATAAATATACACATTTGCATCTTGGAAACTGCATAAACAAGGTGAACATTAAGTTAAATAAAATAACATCTATGCATATTCTATGCATATATTTTTGGTCTCTGGTATCCCACTTTTATCATCTTTTCACAGAGCTGGCTCTCCTCGTCGTAGAGAGGCAGAATGTTTACCTAGAGCAGAGAAAGGAGGACAAAAGTCATGAAGCTGGCTGAAACTTCAAGTTGAATATTGAAATACTACCTGTTAGCCAACTCTTTTTTTAGACATGAACGAAATGAAGTGGCACGCTCCACAGATTTGTACCCCTAATGAAAAAAAAATTGCAGGGCTTATAATGTAAAATACACCATCTGCCTTCAACTTTTCAAAACTAAAACAAAAGTCTTACCCGTGCCCCTCTGTGTAGTCGGTCCTTCATGATGCCGATGAACTCTTTGTGTGACAACTGGTCATCATGATCAACATCAAAGATCTTAAAAATTGTGTTCACGAGATGACGTGTGAGCTTCAGACCCGTGGCAACATACACAGCCCTTGCAAACTCATCTTGAAAAAGATTTTTAAAAAGGTTTAACACAGGAACATAATCAATAAATGACAACACTGTCCTTTTTAAAGTATAATAATCCCAAGGTCTTACAGAAGACACTTTAACATGTTTAAAACCAAAGACAGGGGACAAAGGGGGCATCAACCTAAATGGTCTCATCAGGGCTAAAGATGTCTTAGTAAAATACACCAACTGAGAGAGCCTGTTCAGACAATAACTTGCAGTAAACTGAACTGGTATAGATAGAAAATGTAGCATACAGTAAAATTTCATTACTAATGTTATAATAGTGTTTTTACTCTTATATGTGCTTTGCATTTATTATACCTTGTCCAATAGAACGTGCTGCAAAGGTGTACATCTGCATGGCTATAGCAAAGTCCTCAAGGTTGTTGAGAAACTGGAAGAATGATCTGAACTCATCGAATGTGATTCCCTGAAACAAACACAAAAGTATTAAAGAGTTAATTTTTGTGTCCAGGTGAGAGGACAATATTGAAAATGCCAACAGCCATAATGCCACACAATCACACAAGTTGCTTTAAAAAAGTTGCAATGTCAACTGAACTGTTTCCACAAAATGAGATGTAATTTTAGGCTTCAGGTCTAAAATTAAGCATATGCCTTGACTACCATGATAGAGATGCTCCTTGTACCTTGTTCCAAATTGAACTCAAAGGAAGTTAAATTAACAGAAACCATCAGTGCAATTCTTGTTTCATTGTCTAAATGTGAGTAAGTAGAAAGAGACAAAGTAGAAAAAAATAAATAAATGTGCAGTGACACCCACAGGCAATGCATTACGAGACAAAGACAAACCTGCTACTTCCACAGCACGAGAAGAGAGTACAGAGGGACACAAAGACACATTGGATGAAGACAACTTGAGATTTACAGAGATAGAAATAGTGTAGAGGAAAACGAATTTTGTGTAATAAAACTGTAGTATTTGGCTTTCAGAAAATTATTGTTTGTGTTTATGTTACAAACACCAGAGATGGCTGTTGCTTTAGCACATTACAGGCTGTGACCCTTAAGAGTTACCTTTTCGTCTGGGATAGACTGTCGGACGTTTTCCAGATAAGCATTGATATTCTCAACATTGGTGAAGCGCAACAAAATCTTGGCAAAATCCTCCTCACTGATGGTGGTCATCCCTTTTGAGTATGTCAGAAACTCAATCTCCAGCACCTCTGTTTGCAGGTTGTCCATAAACCTGGACAGAAATATCAGTGATAACTGGTAATGAAATTACATCAAGTGAAAAGCTCAATATATCCAGGTCAATTCACAGCAATATCAAAAGACACCGTGTTGCAACTAAATATAACAATGAGATCTTTCAAATTACAAAATAAATATATATTCATTTATTTTCATTAAACATCACAGAATTGTTATTATCATTGTTGATACCATCACCTGTAAAAATCATCAAATGTCAGCTCTGCCTTTCCTTTCTTCCCAAAGAAATGGACCAGTAGAGTTGTGTCAATGGTCATGTTTTCATCTGCGCGCTGTGGATCACCAAAGAAGAAACTAATGGGTAAAGCTATTGAGTAAAACATAAGAGTTAGACATTTGGACAAGCAGTGGGCAGGTCCTTTAGTCTAAAACACAACTGCTGTGCCAGACGAGCAAGAAGCATATTTTAATTGCCCATATAATATAACAGGTAAATAATAAACATATGCATAAAGTACACGCAAAACTTAATGTTTTAGCAGACCAGTTTAGGCAGCAGGCATTCATTTTATAAGGTGAATGTATAGAGAGAAAACTTTTTTAAATGATTGTCATTAGCAGCCTATACTGGCATCAAAAATTGTAACATGAAGCAAAGGAAAACATGACTTACAGGTTACAAAAGCACAAAGGCAACACATGTAAACAGTGAGCATAAAGGAGAAAAACAGCACAAAGAGGAGGTGAATACTAATATTCAAAGTGTCAGACATGGACATGGCATGCATGTCTTTACTAATGCAACTCTTATACGCAGACATCATGACATTGTGTAATTTACAAGCACACAGAAACAGACAGCAAAAGCAGCAGGTTCACCCTTTTCTGTCAAATAAAGTTTTAATTATACACTAAAATAAACTTTGGCCTCACTGATAATTTAATCATGTGAATGTTTACAATGACAGAAAAGGGTATTTTGAAATTTTTAAAAAATATGGTAGAAATAAGTGCCAATCCAGTTTCTCTCTCCTGCCACCAGCCACAGCCCCTGTTCATATCAGCCGTGCCAACAAAAAGACTTGGTGGGTTGACAGGGCCCTCTATGGAGTACAAGAGCAGTTATGCCATTTCCATAAACATGTCCAGATTGCTGCAAGTTCCGTTATCACCACGATGCCATTCGTGGCTCTACCTTAAGGACAAAATCCTACAGTCCAATGTGGGACAAGAAGAAAATGTCAAACAGGATGTCAGCATTTTGTAAAGTTACTGAACTCACTATAGACATCAACTTAAACATCACTGACATATGTTGAAGCTGCATTGTTTGCTGCAACAATGCACTAAGAATGACTGAAAAAATGTATGCATGTAGTGTTTTGTATATCCTCAGAGCAGAATATACATTTAAAATTGCAAGTGAACAAAGTACATTAAATGGTCCATATTACACTATTTTCTGATCTATGTTATAATGTTGTTTCCTCATCACAAACATATACGGAGCTGTGTTTTATTAGATTTTTTCAAACAGAAAACAGCTCAAAACACTCTGATCCACCTTGTGATGTCACGTGGTTATACAGGAACACACTTTCAATAGAATCATTTACATAATTTCAGCTCTGGAATTGCCAGTTCTCAATTGATGTAAAGGTCAAAGGCAGGAGTTAACTTGAAAGCCACTGCTACATGACATCACAAGGTAGAACAGAGTGTTTTGAGCTTTGGAGATACAAACAAACTAATAAACCAGGATTACTCAAATGTGTATATAAAATAAAACACAAATCTGGGTATATTTTTGATGGGATAACAACATTATAGCATGGCTTAAAGCTCACAAGAATCAACTGAGTGTAATGTAGGGCTTTTAATTGCACAATAATGGATTTTTTAATCAAACATATTGCAGAATAAAAGTGTACTGCACCCCACTTGCAAATCTGTCTTTGCATTCAGATAATGCAACTCTCACTATCTACAATGACAACTACTTTAAAATCATGTAATATGCATCGTAATGGAGCAGACAGTTCTCTTGTTATTTTTATACAGGCTCTAATTACTGATATAAACCTTTTTATATCTAAGTGACACATTAACTGATCATACAAAGTAGACAGCATCCAGATGTTCTTTCCCAAACATCCCTCCCTTCTTCCTAACCCTCATCCTTAAAATCCTATGTGTCTATGGATCCTAATGACTTTTTATCATTCCTGGAAGTGTGGCAATGTTTGTGTGACCTCACCTGACGACCGCTAAAGACTACATCATGTTTCTCACGCCCACGAGGCACGAGCCGACACCTGGTCTATGCCTGTGTCCATCTACGCCACTGTCTATAAGCTTCAAGCAACTTTGATCACAACAGAAAATAGTAATTACTGATGCTAGCACTTAATGGCCTTTCTACCCTCCCCTTTGAGTAATAGATCACACTGTCAGTCAGTCACACCTTCAAGCAATAAAAAACAACTTTTTTCCCATGACCTGCTCTCCTCTTTTTGTGTACCCTCTATCAACCAGCTATTTTTTCAGCTCTTATCACTGCTTGCATTCCCTTTCTTCATGGCCCAGTTCAAATTACCCAGAGTTCTTTTCTGCTTTGTGGAGCTGTCGTTTTGAGCCGTCAGTACCTCCTTTACCTGACAAACAGGTGAGCTGCTGTCACTCAGTCCCTCCTTCTGCAGACTATGGTAATGGTGACTAATCTGTTGAGTAAACACTTGGTCCTTTAAATACAACCTGCTATGGCTTCGCTCATTTCCCCTAAATGTACTTCCCAGACCCCCTTCACTTTGATATTTGTGATTGTATCTTGAATGACAATAGGAATGCATTTTTTCTGATTATGATTTAGAATTTTACATGTTTGGAGATCTACTGTCCCATTTTTGCATGTGAAATCATGGATAATTTTGCAGATTTTACTTCCTTACATTACCAGCCTCATACCATAAAGCGTTAATAAATTGGTCAAATTGAGTTGCATCCCGCAAAATTGTATGTTTAGGCTACTTCACTTGTATTAATCAAACTAAAAAGCTTGTACTATTTATAAAACTATTTGTTAAATTATAATTTTGTTGTGCTGGAATTCAGTCTATTAGCATGTACTGGACGGGTACATGTCCACTTAAATGCTACTGTATTATTTGACCAGACAAGAGCTCAATAATTAATCTGCTTTCCAATAAGATCAGTTTGTTTTTTCTTTTTTTGTCGGGTTCTAAACTTTTCTGGAGACTGGAGAGCTCTATGCATATTATCTTACAACACATTTAACTTTTACAGAAAAGATTATAAAATGTCTGATCCGAAAGCACGAATGGACAACTCATACAAGAATACATGACTATCCCAAAACTTCATTCAAACTCTGAGCCTCCCCCGTCTAATTTGTCTGTTGTCCATCTGCGACACTTGAAAGGCAGCGCAGAGTAAGTACAAGGTCAGCCTCATTACACTCCACTGTCATTACCTCCACCTCTGTTTCCGCTAACACTAAAGCACACAGCCTATCATTACACAGACAACATACAGGCTAACATGCTAGCTCTGTGTTAGCCATTATTAATCATTACAGGCCCCTTTTGACCTCCTATTGAACCAACAGTAGCCTGGATAGATAGCCACTGTAAGAAGGGTTACAATATCCAGGTAAAACAAACCAATGCTATTTTGGAAGTAATTCAAATCAATACGTTTGCCAGGATAGGCCTACATTAGCTGTGAAATGAATTACACACACAGCCGCATTTGCTACACAAAGGCACCAAAACACAACATGGGTTTACAACAAGAAGCATAATGAACATATAGAAAACGACACAACATGAAAAGGTTAGAGGTGCACTGTGTAACTTTTCTAGTGGAGGGTTTGTCACCTGCTTGTTTCTATAGATATGTCATTTATTTGCCAAGAGTGTTCCACAGTATGACATCAAACAGCTCTATCTTACATTTACAAAAATTACAAGTGGTTTTATAGCTCAAAAATACTTAGAAAAACAGGTAACTGACTGTAAGCGGGGTCACCTCTCCACAGATCTGACCTGTAACTTGGTCTGGTGTAGTCTCTATGGAGATAGAAAGGTTTAATGCCATACTGTGAAACATTCCAAACAACAACTAACATCTTCATGGTGAAAAGCATTTGACAGACCCTCCACCAGAAAAGCTACACCATGCACCTTTAAAGACGGGCTATAAAGTATTGATGAAGTTTATGTATTTTTTGATAAACAGAGCATTTACCATTGACATCAGAGTAATTAAAGCACATTTGAATATGCTTTGTCTAATGATTTTAATTAAGTTAGATATAAAATATTAAGTGAGCAAAATTACAATTACATTTCAATGGAATAAGAAGAGAAGTATTACCAAAAAATCTAAACCCAAAAGCCTATAATAAAAGATTTGAGACAAGATGGAAAAAAGTAATTGTTTAAAACAAAAAAGAGAAAGAGCGAAGGTCAGTCTTCATCAGAGCCAGACACAAGAATAAAAGGCAGTGGGCACATTGAAGTTTCAACATTTTTCAATTTGATGGGTATTTAAATAAAATACTGCATATTGTCCGAATGTATTGACTTTTGACTTAAATGCTTGACTTTTATTCCACTATGGTCTGGCCTTCTAACACTAATGATGATACACTACGGGAATGGTTTAAGGTAAAATGTAAACACAGTAGGTTAAACAATGGGATGGGCACACATGATGGGACAGAGGACATGGGTCTGTGTACCTCTGCCAGGTCAGAAAACAGGACTTGACTGGCCCCTCGCCTCAGAACGTCCCAGTAACTCCGCGTCACAAACTCCTGACTCTCTTTTTTAAGCACCTGTGGGGGCGGTCAAGCAGGGCCAAGGTCAGTCCACTTACAACCAAACCAGGAAGTAAGTGTAATTACTGTTATATACTGACTATATGCCCATGGTAAGAACTAGTATGGGATGTCCAGGTTTAACTGTCAAAATACAGTGACAGAAAAAATTATCTAAAAAAAAAAAACACTCAAAATTAACAGCTTATGTACTTGATTAATTAAATGAATGGGCTTACAACCTTAGCTGCCGCTGTGGTTCTGAAAGATTATGTCACCTATATACATTAAATTAAAATTCAAAATTGAATGAAGTAATTCATAGAAAAGAAATAGCTTGGGCAATAAAAGAATTGAGTGAGAGCTATTGCCTAAAATGTCTTTACTTGCAATATGATAATTGGTAAATTAAAAACAAACACTACAATTAAGACTTTTTTTAGAGAATAAATAATAATAAAAATAATATTGTCTATGTGCAATATTGCCAGGTGTATTGTGCCTCTGTTGGAGCTGAGGCCCTGACCACCCACTTTGAGTGTCTCTCTGGGGAGAAGGCAGCAGCGGCCATTTTATCATGACCCCGGCCTCCGCTCTTAACTTCAACGTAACAATGGAGCTATCCATCACCTACGTGACAGCACAACGACTGTGTCTGTGCGTCTGTCTCAGGAAATACATGGTAAAAAGGCACACTCCACTCAGTCTATCATTGCAAAATTATTGTTCATTTATCCTATTTATTTTTTATTGCCTTCATAATCTATGTAATAACAACAAGTGTGTTAATAGGGCTTATTTGCAGTAACAGCATAAACAAAAGACTTCACTGCAAGAAATGTTGAGAAATTTGAGTGGAATAAATGTTGAGAAATGTATGAACCTGATTTATTAGACAATTATTCAAATGTTTTAATAATTTGATTTAATTACCAATGAATTAAAATATACTTATATGACATGAATTAATAAATGCCTGGACTGCAGAGACTGTAGTCTATGGTATATACTTTGAAATTGCTGTTCACAGAAAAATAATATATTAATAGAATTTATGAAGTCTCTTTGCAGTATAAACCATACGGTAGTTAGATTACAAATGCATTGACTTAAAAGAGCTTTCCATGCAAATAACCTGCATTCAAATATATGACTTTGTTTACTTATATCTTATTTCAAATCCTGCCTTCTCCTTATGGGCTGCACAGACAGATGGGCAGTCTGTTTCCTGAATTTAGTTTTTTGTCTTTCATTCATTCATTCTTTCGTTCCTTGTCATTGAGCCCAGCATTGACGACCAATGGGCACATGGGAGAGGTCAGGGTTAAGCTCAGTTCAAAGACTGGCCTAGCACCCAAAAAGACTGACGAACTTAAAAGGTCTTTTAAAGTGTCACCAATCCACAATGCATTTTCAGGTAAATTAGACATACAAAGGACAAGCTAAAAAAACAAAACATACTGTTTAGTACAACTGAATATATACCATAACGTTATGGTTTATGTGCATCATCTTGTGTGCATTTTCAAATCTTATACTATTTCCGTCTATATGCAAGGAAAAGGCATAGCAGAGGACAACAGAACTGAGTACACCTTTTACAATGGTATTCTTACACCAGGTGTAATTTATCTGCAGGTTTGGCACACACAGTGGGTGGGTTACTTGCAGATTGCCTGTTCCACCAAGTATGGTGCACTGTGGTGCGCATTCAAACAAGGCAACGGGGCAGTTCATGTGGTTTCATGTAGGTTCACATGATAACACACTTCTAATGACCTAAAAACCGCACCAGGCCGCTATGGTGTCCGGGGAAAATAAACCCATGCCCACACTCCGCTGAGGTCAACAGGAAACTTGGTTATAGTCACTTGGTGAATCTTGAACCGCACTGGACTATACTTAGCCCCGGTTAAATTGTCTGTAATTATTGAAACATATTAGGTATTTTTCATCAAAACTGATGTGTTAAATGCTGAACAAATGATCAAATGTAAGAATTTGTGTATTTGACAACAAGGGCCAGATAGTGATGGCTAAATAAATTGCAGTTCACAGTGAATGCAAATTCTCATATGTTACTGCTCTGCCTGCATTATATTGACAGTTCTTGTAGGTAACAACAGAATGACACTATGGTTTGGGATACATACGCTGTTCACGGGGGCAACCTGATATCCATACAGCTGCATAGTCTAACACAGAGAAAGAGACATGAGGAGGAAAAAGACAGAGCATGCGTTCACACAGTGGGGCAGGGAGGAGGAGAGAAGGCAGAGGTACATGTTAGTACATGCGAGGAAAACTGTGGATACACTCTGCAAGAGGATGTGTCACTCCAAAACACATCTGGGACACACTTTTACAACACACAGTTAAAGGTGCACTGTGTCACTTTTCTGGTAACGGGTTGGCCACCTACTCATCTCCATGGAGAGGTTATTGCTCTGTCTGAAATGTTCCAGAGTTTGGCATTAAATTTTATTAAAATTTTGCATTTATTAGTTTTGCAAGTGTTTTAATAAAATAATAATAATAATAATAAAATTAATACCATACTGTGGAATATTTCACTCAAAGTAAAAGAGAGATACTTTATTAATCCAGAGGGAAATTCAAGAAGTAATAACGTCTCCATTTGATAGACCATCCACTAGAAAAGTTACATAGTATACTTTTAACATTACAGGTATTCTTATGGTCTGTGGCTGCACTGAACTATTAAGCATCTAATAATTGTAAACAAAAGTATAGACCTAAATACAAAATATATTGTACAATATGTTGAGTACTTAAGTTAAGTTAAGTTACTGACTAGGCTTAATGCTTTGTAAAGATAAATACTTTTTGTATTATATAAGTATCACTTCTTGAAATATATCGCAAATGAAAAAGCATATGGTCCTGGCATTGAGACCAGTGTTGTCCCTTGTAGTGTATCCAATATACACTGTCACAGTGAATACGGCACACATAATTAACAGTAGGAGCTGCATGCATTTATAGGACAAAGATGAGTTTAATTTTGTTTGAACGATGTACAGACATTTTAATCCATCCACATTCAAGTCTAACTTTTAAAACTACAAAGATTTATTCAGAATTACCTTCGAATGGATGCATTAAATTGTGGAAAAATATCTTTCCGATCATTATTTAGTAGCCTAATCATTATGCTGACATCACAAAAATATGATAACTGACATTTTTTGTTATGTCATATTTTAAATTAATAGTGAATATTTTCTCTTACCAACTGAGCAGATTTTTCTGCATCACCTTTCCGTCCTCTCTTCTCATTCTTTTTTCGAAATATTTCCTGTAGCTAAAGGGCCAAGCAAAAAGACAATATAAAATATATTTACAATATCTGTGACATTACATACTGCAGGTGTCAGATACTCACCACTAAGAACTCCCTCTTGTCCACCATCTGGTTACCGTCTGCATCAAACATATTGAAAGCAATCTTGAAGCCAGCATGGGGTTCTGGAGGACAGGAGCAGAAGGCACACAAGGTGAGTGCATGGGGTGTGCATATGAGAAAAATCTCTTTAAAACAGAAATATGTTGTGGTCGATGCATAGCACAGGTTCACCCCTGCACCAAATGTGAGATTTCTGAGCCTTTCACTACAGACACAATTATGGCCTGACTTTGACTGAACTTTTTGGCTACTTCATGCAAACAAACAAGTAATCCACAAGCTCCTTTAACAATTTAAGTGTGTTCAATTGCTTGTGATGTATGAAAACTAGGGATGTCAAAACAGTAGTTTCTTATGCACATGCTTGTTTTTATATCAGGCATGATATGTTCATAAACTGTATGTCCAAAATGAAGCCATTTTAATACAATGTATAGTCCCACAGTATAGTAAGTATAAGAGTAAATACTAAATATTTTAAAGGCAGTATTTTTAATAAAAGTGTATGTATGGACTCACTTGTGAGGATACAGAGCAGGAAAAGGTACTCTGTGTAGGAGATGATACCTGGTAACAACAGAGACAGAGGTCAGACACCGCTCATACACAGTGTTTACAGATGTTCAAAGGACACAGATCTCCCAAGACACACACATAATCCTTCCTTTCATGAAGATAGCATCTTAAAATGTGTCTTCTCAAGTCGCCAACAGCCATTTGACCACACACCGCTTCTTTTTCTACACCCCGAGTGTCCAAAGTAAAGACAGAGATTGGTTTGGGTTTGTGTGTGTTTGGATAAGCAAGTGAAAAATGTTTTAGGAGGTGATCCTTTCTTGCCTCAGGCCCATTTAGGAATCTCTGTAGCCCCATCTCATCTCCACTGGCCTCCTTTTTTCGCTTTCTGTCTGATGGTGCAGATAGTTCAGGGTGAGTGGCTTGAGTGTTACGGGAGACTGCTTTCCCATGTGTGACAATGTGAGTGTAGGTGAACATGACACCAGTAAAAACCAGTGCGCGCCTTGTGTGTTCCTGATGCTTGACCGCTTTGTGCCAAGGAGCTGGTCTGGAACCAAAGTCCCTTTTCCCTGTGAAGCCCGAGCCCACAGAAGCCCAGGGTCACACACTCACTCACGACTCAAGTTTCTGAAATATACAAAACATGTTTGCACTCACTCGCATTCAATGGATTAAGTGAATACATTGCCTTCTGGGCTGCAGGTATTATTACAGAGGTGTTTATTTAAGTGTTAATAATAATTAATAGTGAAATTATCTGTATCCATGATGTGTGTATCCATGTGTTTTGCAGCTGTTTCAAAATATATGGTATTAAAATTAGGGATACACTGCTCTGGTACTGGTATCAGATATCGGTGCTGAACAAATTTGTCTGATCGGATATTGGCTTCCAAGTCTGTAAATTGGTGTAATAAGACTATTTGTGGTCATAGTTGGCCAAGAAAATCTCATACTGAACTTTTATTTACACACAATTGTTGTTGTGCTGTAGATACTTGAGGAATAAATAACTACATAAATAGTACCTAAAAATACTAGTTAAATAGCTACATAACACATTTAGAACAGTTTTTCTTATTTTTGTTTAAAAGAAATAATTGCTGTTTTCAGTGGCTACATCGGCTTCAGTTGATATCAGGTATTGATAGATACTAAAAGCAGTAGTATCAAAACTGGCATCAGAACTGAAAAAGCTGGATAGATGCATCCTGAATTAAAATGTATAAAGTACATAAAGATTTGACTCTAACTTAGTACACTTTATATATTCAGTGACATCCTATTGTGACCAGAGTTGGTAAACCAGGCCAGCATATTCAAATGAGTTAAAGGTAGTTCTGATATAAATTACAGATAGAGCCAATGTTTTGCATCAGTCCATCACAACAGGATGCATTGTATGTATTATCTACACAAAGATACTTAATTTCTTTTCTTTAATGCAGAGCAATGCAGTACAGGCAATAACTCAATTTAATGCTAGTCCATGTTATATAATTTGGGGGAAATGTGAAAATTGGTTCTGCATATCACACTCAAAATTAGAGCTCATCAGTTTCTCTGAATGTCAATATCAGTATTGGCACCGCCATGAAAAAACCCTAACAGATTTGTGATGATAAAAGCATGAAAATCCACCACCATTTATCATAGACAATTTACAATCGATATTCTACTTTTGTCTTATCTCCAACACATATTGTACTATTTTTCCATCCATACTCCATTATTATTCAGAGACTAATCCATTTTTTAGTACACCTTTAGTGAAGTTTGGGTGGAACCTGATTGACCTCACAGTGCCAGGGCAGCGCTCACAAACATGCACAGTCTGGTTAGACAACTCTGTGCATTCCTCAGTGTGACATGCGGCTTTGTCAATCTCAGAAATGTAAAGCTCCTCCAAGGATGTGCACTGCCCTCCTTCACCAAGGTCCCAGAAGAAAAGCATGCCCAGACACCAACATGCATAAAAATACACCAAGGATACAAGTGAGGACACAGCAATATTTTCTATGAGGGAAAGAATAAAATTGTGTATTACAGGATGTTTTTTGTTTTGTGAGGGTGATTTTTGTGTGTGGTCCTGGCCTGACGCCACAAACAACTGAACCGAACAATGTCCCTGTCTTTGAAAACGAAATGGGATAGTCTTACTCTTTTCTTTGTTCTTCTGTCTGAATGCCTCCATTACTGTCTTTTAATTGAACATTGACTCACTTTCATTCTTTAGATAGTTTTTATTCCTTTTACTGCACATTTTTCCATCTTAAAAGTAAATCACAAACTTGGATATTTGGAAAAAAGATGTTGTTGTATTTAAAGCAGTCAGGATAATTTTTAAATTGTATTTATAGTACTTTTAAAAAGGCTTTAATGAATTCAAACATCCTTCATTCTGAAAGTCATAGGAGAAATAAACATTTTGCAGGTGAGAGATGGGGTTGTGTTATTGTGGAAAAATAGGAGCTGTGTTGACGAGTTATATTTAACTCAAAGTGTGTGGTTAATTATCACTACAGGGACGCTCAGGCTCCACAGTCTCCTGAAGCAAATGCATTAATGAGAGGGGCTTTCTCCTTCCTACGTGCTGTATTTCTGTCCTCACTAAAAAGAGGAAAGGAGAGAAGGTGTATTTTTAGCCCTTTTCAGCAGGTAGTTTGGCTCCAAACAGGGACAGCATGGCTCCAAACCCGGATTAAAGACACCTACAGGGACCCGTGCACACTCAGATATACAATATGCACTACACTGGCACAAAACATTGTATTGTACTACACTTTGAAGAGAGAAAGTGCAGTGAAAAGGATACAGCTTTCCATTGTGACAGATTTTAGATATGTGCTAAATATATGACAGGGTTATTCAATGTTTTGCTGCTGATGTTGCTATAATATTATTGTAAAGTAGTGGCACTTAGCATTAGGTAATAAATAATTGTTATGACAGGGTAACTGGAATAACAAGGGACTAATGTCCTTATTGTTACTGAACAAACTATGTTTCCTAGTCATTAACATTCGTAACCATTTATTAGGATATTGCCATGAGTAGATTAGCAAATGCATCCTTTTCCATGAGTAATTACTATTACACTTTTAGTTGCAATGCTTATCTGTGTAATCCCTGAGACATATAGGTATGATCCATAGCAAACGAAAAATCCAATTCTGTCAATTGAACAAAAGTTTTTAGAGTGAAGACGATTTGCTGGTCAGTGCTGGTGGGACACTGCCTGTAGGGAGAAGCTAGTCTTAGCTGCTATCCCTTTCCTGTTAGCATGCTATTATTGTGCTCTGTGCTACCAGTTACTTATTTAATTTTTATGTTCTTTTCTATGTTCTTTTATGTTAAATAAGATGAATTACAAGTGTAGGTGTCTTGGTTTTATATGATGATTTATATTATTACTCATCACTGTTTGAGTGCTGTTTACTTTGTGATTGTTAATTTAGTGTAAGAGGCTGGAGGTGCTCATAGTTGGTCATACCTCGTTCTCTGAGATTACGAAACAGTTTGGATGATCCTCTCCAAACAGGCGGAGTGTCTGTAAGAATCTTCTCGAGTTCCTGCAAAAAATATATATAATATAATATATAATAATAAATAATATATATATATATTTTAAGATTTTTCATTAGGACACATTGATCATTTTGTCTGGTGTGGACAGGTGGGTATAGACAAAGAGAATGTCAGGGGTGGTGTGAGAATGATAGCAACAGACAGAGAGTCGATACAAAAAAAATGTTAGGGGTAAAGCGTTTACTAAGCATTTGCATATGTGATAAATGCTTTGGACACAGTAAAAAAAGCAGCCGCAGTTCAGATTAGTGTCACTTATAGGTGCTTTACGGACACAGCGCAGATTTATAGTTTGCATTTGTTGACAGGGAAGATGTCTGTGCTTTTCTCTCAACTAGCTCTAACAAATGTTCGATTTTTCAGCTTGCTCTTGACCCTTCTACCAATCAGATTAGACAATCATGACATTATGCATTTTTCAATCTCTTTCAGTGAGAGCAATTTCATATTAATAATGTGTAGAACTTAATTCAGAGTGACACATATATCAATCTGGCGTGAATCAGGACAATAATTTAGCACCTGTCTTAGTAAATATGCCCATAAACACACAACAAGATATTTGAATTTAAGCTAATAATTTGTTACTCTTAAATTTGTCAGTATTAATTATCCTGCCTTGTTACAAAAATGCACAACTACTCAACAAAATCTTCTGATGCTGTGGTACGTTGAGAAGAAATATGGAATTTATTAAACACATAGCAGTCTTAGCTGTCAAAATTTATCCTTGAAAAGACATAACTTGCAACAGATTCCTGCAACTTTGGAAAAAACTGAAGCCTTTTGAGTGTGTTTCCCACCTGTTTGCTCAGGGACTTCCAGGGCCTCTTGTCTGCCGGAGAGAAAGAGGAGAAGAGCATTTGGGTGGGCTTGCTCTGATAGCATCTGTATGATCTAGAAATGGGTTTTAATGCGCTGCGTACAGTCACAACACACACACACAGAGCTCTTCAGTGTATACACTTGTCATCATTACAGGCCCATTTGTAGTGTCTAAAGTGCCCCGTGCTTGGCTTTGTAGTGTGTGGAATGTCCCGGTAAAAAGGCATACGACTTTTGTTCTGTTTTATACAACAAGGTTCATCTAATTCGACTTCAAAGGGCGCATTAGAGGATGTAGGCTGCAGAGGGCTATGTGAGGCCGTATCATATGTCAGGGAGTAGGGGCAGACGTAAACATAAGCAGACAGGTGCACAGTTTGCACGCAATACAATTACACGTAGCTACTATCCAGAACAGCAGAGTTGGATCATCGCTTTCTTCAGATTTAATAAAGTGAATAGCAAAACTGAAGATAAAATGCAGTTAAAAAGCCAGGCAAGTGTACTAAGTGTAAAAGGGCACAGGAGTGGGCTGGTCTAATGTTAAACTCAGACTAAACAATAGCTGTAAAACCATCTGCCCTGAGGCTGGCTGCCCAGGACTAATATTTTACAACTGACAGCAACAAAGCAGAAGAAATGTGCTTCAGCCAGGACGTTTAACAGATAAATGTGCAGTTTATAGAGGATTTCTATTTCAGTTAAAAGACAAATCAACATATGGTTTAAAAGGATAGTGAATGCTAATTGATCAATACATGGTGCATAGTAACAACAGATAACTGAAGATTTATAGAAATATTAAGCATGTCTGGACTCTACTGTTAATAAACTGTCCATAATAGGTAATATTAAAAATAAATTACATCCAGGTCGAAAGTATCATAAATCAAAATATACTAGGATAGGATAGGTTCACATGGAGAACTGTTCAGAATTCTGTAGCTTTTTTAGATTTATATGTCCCAAATATGTACAATTTTGGCCACGCATAAAATTACTTTTTAAAAATGAAATTACACATTACATGATGAAAATATGTTAATACATTCTTCATACATTTACGTCAGCAAACTACAGAAGAAATAATTAAACAAGTACCATTACACAAATATCATTGATGTAAATGAGACACTCAAACTCATATCTAACAAATTGATAAATAAATGAAATATCGGCTTAGTTTGTACTTACTTCTGGGTTCGCTCATGGTCACAGACTCGATGAAATTTTGGGGGGTCATGTAGAGCTGTCCTTCATATTCTACGGAGCTGAACATCCGGAAACGATGTTCATGAGATGACATGTGCACATCACCAGTCTCAAAGTCAAACACAGGACTCTGCAGACATCACAAAAACACACATCACACAAATTAGTAACTAAAAACAAAAACAAAAAAAATATTATTTTTAGACAAAACATTAACAAATTGGGTTACTGCAAGTGAAATGCAGAAATTGTAGGATATATAATATAAATTCAGTACAGAGAGAAACATCAGAACATAAGGTAAATGTATGTACAATTCTTATGTATACATTTATATTCACTGTGTTGTATGTGAAATTGTATTAGAGATGCCAAAATCTGGCACACTCATTGCTTTGTATTTCTTCTTAGTAGATATTTTCCATAATATTTTGTCATATATTTTTTTTTTTTTTTGAAATTAAAGGCAGTAGAGTATGGATGGACAATAGTTTGTGTTAAAATGACACAACATTTTGGAGCTGGAGTGCAGAATCCTGTTGACCTGAGTTATGGTTTGTATCTTGCTAATTGCTGGGCCTATACACATGAAACTAAAACTGGCACAAAGTTCAACCTCTGCCATCAGCATACATTGAGTTTATTAGCTTCAGAAAGTCATGCCCTAATTAGACCCCAAAGATGGGCATGTCAGTCAAAATAACTTTAAGCCATAAGGTTAATATGACCAGTCCCTAACAAATAATAATAATGTTTATCATCTCTGTGTCTTGAGTCTTTTTATTTATTTCAAAAACATCTTATAGTATATAGACCCCTGTGAACAGTGAACTCAAATGGGAGACAGTGTTAACAATTTCACTATTTACTTCAATAATTACAGCACACAACATCTTAAAAGAAAGCAAGACAACAATGGCACATGCACTCTCTCACACAAGTGCATCTTGATTAGCAGCAGTAGAAGAGGACAGATTGTGCAGCATGAAGCTCTGTAATTAACAGAGAGGCTTTCCAAATTTAAACCTGCCTCGACTGCAGGGCCCAGTGCACCAAGGTTCCTGCACAGCTCAGCTAACATGCAAATGATCGTACAGGTTCATTCATAAGGCTTTGATGCTGCTTCACCGTGGGGGCGTTTCAGGGCACAGGGAGGAGGCAGAAGCTCCACTGTGATGAGTATTAACTGTAATCAACTGTATGAGACTAATCAATGAAGCTCATCAAGTTCTGCAAACATGTCAAACTGAAATGTCTCAAGCCTGTGAGCATTTATAAACTGAGTAAGTGCATGTAAATATGTCTGTGTCATTTTGATATAAACCTGTTCAAGGACTGAAAACCTTTTAGCTAGAACCTGGTACATGCAGACTGGTACATGATGTAATTTCTGGTTATAAGGTTAAATGGGGGGTATTTTACTTCTATGGGGTATTACCTGCTAAATGACATATTAAATGACCATGCCACCTTTTCTTGTTTTAGAAATACTACAAGGATGCCAAAAACAACGTATTTACACGTCTTATAAACATTTATGATGAAAGTATGAAAGTCTTCCCTCCCTTTGCTCTCTGTGCTTAGTTACTCCCCCTTCAGAGCACAATCACATCAGCGTGTGTCTCACTAATGGTACTACTGCACATCACATCAGATTTGTCAAGCTGCTGTGTACAGTTTTGTATCATGTTTTTGTATATTTATGGAGAATTGTCATGTGGGAGCCTGTATCATGTAGGCTTGTGGCCTCGTGTAGGTTCAAATAGGACCAGGAAGAGATTGCTAAAATAATGAAACATGCATGAATAACATCTAAAACCTTTTCATGAGTCATGCTATAACTCATCAAAAACATAGATGAGTTATAGCACTGTAGAAAGCTCAAATGTGTCAGAGTTAGCTAGAGGGCTTTTCATCTGTAGTCTCTTGACAAATGCTGAGTGTCAACCTTAAAGAAATAAAATTACAGTTACATTATTACAAGTTTAAAATACACTCTAAAATCATACATTCCAAAATACCAGTCCAATCTGACTCAGAATAACAAATAACAACAGGAGTGTAGTTTTTGTTATAAGTCATAAAAAACACAATACATTTTCAATACTTGTGTAATATAATACAATACAACTTTAAAAAAAAAGACCTCTCCTGTTAGCAAATGTTAAGCAAATATCATGAAGATTTGCACAGACCAGTCCCTTTGCTAATGAAGATGGGAGAAAAACAGTCTGCTGTGGATCACTGGATCACTGAATACTACCGAGTGTACAGATGTCTAATGTAATATATTACCCTTCTAAACTCTCAGGTCTTTACTTAATAAATTGAGTGATATGGGACAGACAGTATATTATTGTTACTGTAAACTTAGCTTGATGACCTCAGGGGAGAGTTAAGCATTGCTTACATAAAGAACACTGGTAGCCTCTAGCCTACTGCCTTTTGTCTAAGACAATAGCCCTACACTTTAATAGTTATTAGACTATATATGTTTTTCCTCTATTCACTAATTGATAAAGAACATACTAAACCCTTAACACTGTGTAACACTCAGAGATGGGAATACTTTGAAAATGTATTTAGTTACAGAATACTGAATACTCTAATTAAAATGCATTTTGTAACATTGTACATTGTCCAGTCAGAGTTATGTACAGCATGAAGAACCACCATGTATTCCTTTTAATTTAGGAAAGTAACTGTATTCTGATCACTACCAAACTTTACGACTAACAATACAGTTACTCAAAATAAGTTTTAAGAACACGTATTTTCGTTACATGTATTCAGTAACTTCCCAACACTGGTAACAGTGGTGATGTCAGCACAGTCAGTGCTGTTTCTGTGCATAGTCAATGTCTCGATGTGCGCAGTGACTTCAGCACCAGCGCGAGTGGATAGCGCCAGTTTTGCAACTGCGCAGTCCGCAGCCAAACTGTGAGAAAGTGTTTCCACTTGGCGTGCTGCGGGGAATGAATGACACTATTAATCTGGCCCAAGGCAGAAAAAACAACCAACCAACCACGCCTTCAAAAGAAGACTTCTGCAAATGTAAGCAGACTACGTGCTAAATATTTACAATATGACGCAAGCTAACAATATATATTTTTACTAGACTATCTTACTCCATTGTAGAGGCCTAAAAAAAATCTCCTCCAATAACAGCTTCGTTCAAATACCCAGTCTATACTTGTGCCACCAGTTCTACAGGACAGTGGAGCAGAGTAAGAGAAAGTGAAAGCTGCAGTACCAGTGCGCACTGAAAAGACGACAGTGATATTCGGGTTGTCTTACCTTATCTTTGGCTTCGACGGTGGGGATGTAGGGCAATAAACCAGGACCACTGATGCCGCGGCTCTCCATCCTCTTCCTCGGTCTGTCGCTTGTCAAATCATTGTAGAAATAATACGCCACGACACCTCCGGTTGCCAGACACACACCAGCTGTCAAATACCCCCGACCTCTGCCTCCGGCCGTCTGTCCGCCGGTGAGCTCGCCTTTCGCCGCAGACCAGACGTTTAACTTACCGGCCAGGACTGCCACTCTGCGAAGGGCGGCCATTGCTGCAGCTGCGGTTGTGGTGCCAGGATTGTAAACTAGAGGTATAAAACTATCGCGGTTGTTGTCGCTGTCATCGCGAGAACTGAAGGAGTCCCAGTGATGCTGATGAGAGCACAGAAGCCCTGGATCAGTCATCAGCAATAATTCAATTCAGTTTGTGTAAAACACGTGTTATTCATGCATTTATTTATTTATTGTTACTATTAGGCACGTAAAAGCAAAGGTTTTAAAAGATTTAATAGCTACTTTTTTATTTATTTATTTTTTGTGTGTGTTTACAGGCTATAGGCTATTTCATATTTGGTCTGTCATAAACAAACAAGGTCATTCTGATTTTCCATGACATTTCTTTCAACATTTGGTTTAACCTTCATATTAATTGTGTTGTTTTATTTTTGTATTGTTACAAAAATAATGTAAATTCTGTGTGCATCAAGTTAACTGACTGCATTGAATAGAAGTGATCAGTTTGAATAATGAGGTCTGGCTGTTGGTTATTGTGTTATTTACTGTATACAAGATCAAAGCAGGCAATAGAAACCAGGTATCAAACAAATATCAAAGATGGGTGATAAGTCTGTGCATAAGGCTATGTTGTCTATGGGACTTTGAAGCTGAGAGAATAAAGGGGAGAGTCTAGCAGATGTCACCTGTTAACACATTAAGACAGTCAATGGACTGAAACTACAAACAGATCAAATGACATGTCAACAATAGAAAATAAACCCATCTCAAAATGTTTCAAATGCTAAACAAGATAACAGAATAATTGTATTATTGTCTTGTATCTAAACTGACAATGCCTAAGAAGTGTCACAAGAAAATAAAAACTGATTGGAACACTTTCCAAGTTAATGTACATTTAAATCTCTGATGTCTTGGCCAGTTGTCTAAGTAAGTAAATTGTTATTTGATATTTTTCCATATTTTTAGGTTTAGCTTTTTATACAAAACATTGATTATTTCAAGTAAAATGTTTTTGCTATAGTTTCAATAGTTTAAAAGAGCATCCCTGTTCTTCAGGCCCCACAGTTTGAAGACCACTTGCATTAATAACCTCTAGGCTACATATTCAGTTATTCCATTACCCAGGCTTTCGATTAGGTTGTAATTTCTTTGTGGCGCGTGTGGGTGTGTGAGTTGGGGGTGGTGGGTATAACCCTGGGGGCCTCCTCACCCCTCCTCCTTCTTCATGAATTCTATATATGGTGCCTTCATGCTTGACCTTCCTCTCTTTTTCATGTCACAAACCAGAGCTAGCTTAAGCTTGGGAAATATTTTTCAATGAAATCCACGTGACCAGCGCACGTAAGTGCGCGTGGATATGTGGCATTCTAACTGACATCTTCATTGTGGTTGGATCGATATCCAATACATCAGGATCTGATCAGCCTGGAGGCGATTCCAATCGATTCTGTCTCCTTTAGAAAGTTATTCTTCGAGGGTCATTAATATTCATGAAGTGACGGACAGCTGAGGAGATCCACCCACAGACGCGCGCGCTGCATTCAGCGCTTTATGGCAACTTAAACCACATAGAAAACGCCAACATTACGCTTATGTGGATGTGTGTGCGTAAGAAATAATCGGAATGTTGCATAGGCTACAGAAAATGGACTTGGCACGTAAACACTTCAACACACCTCTGCACCTTCAGTCATTTATCAATGCTATTCCCAGGGGAGGGGGCAGCTGTGAGCGCGTGCCGTGGTGTGTTCAAGCTAAGCGCGTGTCAGTAGTGGCCAAAATCAATGTCATCTGTGGCAGGGCCCCAACAACATGGTCCCTCTGTGCAACTGCCAGGACAAAACACTGCAACTGGTAACTCTAAACAGATGAAACAGTAGGCTTAGCAGCGCTAAACTTTGTACTGGGCGTGAGAAAACAAACAAATAAACAAACAACTAAACATACAGACATTATTTTACCCAATGATGGCTAAACTCAAAAAAGTCATATATATGCCTAAATAAATGCTCTGATAAAGTTGGACCCACAGTCAGAATGGAATCACAAGTTTACTAACCTTGAGCACTTAAGAGTTTCAATCGTGTATTTATATTTTGGAATCATCAGTATGTTTTATTATAATGGATTGGTCTATAAATCACGCAATAAATTGCATTAGGTCATGGACTAGAGGTCGCTATGGCCCTTTTTGACAATTTGTTTATTAGTAAATGTCGGCGTTGTTGGTTAGACTCCATTGCCAATAAGCACTACACCTGACTGTTTACATCATGAGTTATGGTAAGTTTCATGTGTCAGGGTATTTTTGGAGCTCTGGAGTTCAAACAGTTATTATTCCCCTCTTGGGGTTGTTATTGCCTGATCCTCTTACAAGATCTCTCCACTTTGAAGCGCCTGTGTCTTTGATTTGTCTTTAAAGACCACAATTAAGGATCTATGGTTCTTATACTGTTCAAAGGATGGTAAAAAGATCAATGCGCGGATTGACAGTCAAGTGATGTCGTTTACACAGGTGTGTGTGCCTCCGTGAGAATGTGTAGTCTTCCTCTCTGTGTCTATGCGGGCGCTGTAAAAGTGAGGCTGCGGGGATACATAAAAAGGGGCAATAAATCAACAAGAGAGTGCGAAAATTACGCAAATGGGGGCTTTCCTTCTCTGCCTCTGTCTTGCACCTGAGTCATTTGGAAATATGGGGCGTGAGGTTGTAAAGCATTTAGGGTCGTGGTGATATCACTTTTAAGCCTTTTTGACACTCTGGCTTAATGTTATTCATAAAAGTTGCTTTGCGCAAATTCCCATGCGTAATTTGTCTGCACAAGGACACAAGGAAAACTAACTCAGTGCCATGCTCGAATTAACAGCCTTTAATATCTAATGCACTCTCAGCTGAAACTGTGAACATCAAAGGTGATGCAGAACAAGGATGAAGGGGTTCTGTTTCAAACAGCAATAAGCCATAAAAGGAGGAGATCTCCGCTCATTTGCATAAAAAGGCAAGTCGGGGTGAATATCTATATTGCGTTATATAGACGTGGGTCTGAGCCTGTCCTCCTTACACTGTGCTGCTGACTGCTGCTGAGATAGGAGCTGGCGCAGGAAGGAAAGGCATCAGTGAATGAAGGAGAGAAAGAGAGAGAGGAAAACCCTGATGTGCGCTGGAGCAAAGGGGAGTATCCCGAACAGCAGAGGGGAAAGAGGAGAGGACACAGGGATAAATAGCTCAAGACGAGAAGAGGAGGCTACAGCAGCGAGCCGGGCTGCTCTGGGAGATAAGGCGGGAGTATATCTTAATTAGATGGCAGTCTATGGCAGTCTAATTAACAGTGCTGACTGCGCCAAAACGCGCTCTCACTGAGGGAATTGCATTTGCCCGCAACTTTTCTTTCTCCATCCCTTCCACACCAAGGCTCGTCCTTTGGGATAACGCGTCAGAACACACCGGGTGGCTTTATCTGTGATGGGGGCAGCGGCTGAGGTTGGGAGCTTCGCCAACGTATTCGTGGACAGCTTTATTGGCTCCGCTGGCGCTGCTTCGGCTCCCGTTGGCTCTCATTTGCTGCTCACCCCCGCCGGGGCCGTGGACTACAACTCGGTTACAGGACTCATGATGATGGGGGGACACGGGGCAGGACTGCACGAGCACCTGGCGTCCGCAGAGAGGCTGTCCCGGAGCCTAACGGATCTCACTCATCTAAAGGGCATTTTGAGGCGGAGGCAACTATACTGCAGGACGGGCTTCCACCTGGAAATTCACCCCGATGGCACTGTGCAGGGGACGAGAAAGGACCACAGCAGATTCGGTGAGTAACTATCCATAGCTTTTTTACTATGCGCAGTTGACGTAGTGACTGTAGTACACGGGCAGTACAGTGAATGGATACACAGCTGCGCGGTTTTAAAATGTGATTGGACAAGGAGAAATAGCCCAGCTTTATAAGAACCACCTCTTTTGCACTTTATGTAACAATACAACACATTTGCAGCACAGAGCACTAATACAATCTTAACTCTTCAAGCTACACCTGCTATTTGTTTAGAATTTAGTGTAGATTACTTTTGTACATAACGCATAGGAGCTCTTATTAATGATGATATTAACTGTGATTACGTGTGCAGGTATTCTGGAGTTCATCAGTCTGGCTGTGGGACTGGTCAGTATCAGAGGAGTGGACAGTGGCCTCTACTTGGCCATGAACAGCAAAGGGGAACTCTATGGCTCAGTAAGGACCATTTTAACTGCTTATGTTTTTGTAGATCAATGGATTATATTTGCATGAAATTCATATTTTTTTCTTTTCTCCAGGAGAAGCTGTCTGCTGAGTGTGTTTTCCGAGAGCAGTTTGAGGAGAACTGGTACAACACCTACTCGTCAAACATATACAGGCACGGGGAGAGGGGGGCTTTTTACTTTGTGGCTCTAAATAAAGATGGGACTTCACGAGATGGAGCGAGATCCAGGCGACACCAAAGGTTTACTCACTTCTTACCCAGACCCGTGGATCCAGACAGGGTACCGGAGCTGTACAGAGACATACTGGGGCAGAGCTGAAAGCGCAGAGGACTTCATATGCTTCACATGCAAAGCTGAAGTGCATATAAAATACTGCCATGCTCTGAGGCTGGCCCACCAGGATTGTATGAAGTGCACTAATCCACACGTCCCACTGCTGACATGATGGAAGGAACCAGAGCCTCTCCAGGGAGCGAGCAGGAGACAGCCACCCATTGTCCCGCTCATTGGCCTATGCAGGGGCCCTGGTGGCCACGCAGACAATGTTATGGAGTCTCCAATAATAAAATCCCAAACTGCATGTTCAATGGGACAAAAAGCTTTGGACCTGATACCAGCTGCTTGCTCTATACTGCTGTGGCTGTTTTTGTCGGTTCCACACTGATGTTAGTTGCTCTTTATAAATGTGGCTGCTATATGATCTAAATGCATTATCATCCACGATTTTGTGTGGCTCGTTTACACTGTAATGTCATGCACTGGAAAATCATGTTTGTTCAAGGAAACAGATCTCGTAACACAACGGAGGAATAGTTATTTCTTCTTAAACAAGCACTGTTCTGAGAATATGATGCTAAAATATGCCATGAGGAGGAGTTTTGAATCAAGATGGTGGATTACTGTTTGAAGGACTTATGGCTCTCCCTTGGACTGTGGAAGTATGGGACCGACAAAGACAGAAAATTTTATTCTTATTTATGAGCTTCTGTTTCCTAGAACATACAGTATATTTATTTCATATATTATTTATTTTGAGAATATATTTTTCCAATTATGAGAAAATAAAAAACATCCAGAACATATAAAAGGAGATTGTTGTTATTTGCCACTTTTAGGTTTTCATAGAAATAACAGTTGCATAGTTAGTTAAATAACAATTTAGTTAAATTTTTGGCAGTGTACCCAGTTGAGGAAGATATTAAGCCATTATTAGAATAACAAATAACACTGAATGTCACTGTGTGAGTGTATTTTGAAAGACGTTGCAATTGACCCATTACATCATGCCCTCTTCTGCCTATTTTCTTCAACTTAACTTTATAACAATTGACACCAACTTAGTCAGATGTAATGAAATTCATATGAGAGACACACATGTGTATGTAACCAAGATATATGTCTGTGTATTAATATTACTGAAATAGATTAATCTTGGCCACATGCTTTTTAGACAGTATTGTTTGCCAACATCAATGATAGTTTTGTTTATGTTGAGTCCCCTAAAAAAAAAAAAAAAAAAATGAAATGCTTTGAGGATGTACTCATATTTGTACCATTGTCTTGTCAGTTGTGCCCTTGAATTTGTCTTATCTCCAGCTGCATCTGACTTCAAGGAGATTGTGTGATGTGTGAGCTGTTGCCATCATACAGGCTCATTGAGTGCGACTTGTGTCAGATAAGATTACAGAGCAGTGCCGCTTCATCTGCCCAGATGTACCGTTGAGAGCCACAGTGTATCAGGACAAGGCATAGCAGAGTAATCTTGGGATAGGGGTAAACATACAGAGAAGAGAGAAGACATCAGACTGCTGAGTACCAGCATACAATTGTCAGAGAGGCAGGAGGCTGAACTTTAGGAAACAGGTGGGTTCTTTGCTCATAGAAAAAAAGCGATTTGTGGGTTATTAGAGTTGTTGGCCTGTCAGGTTCCTCTCCTCCTTTGAAGTGTGTGTGTGTGTGTGTGTGTGTGTGTGTGTGTGTGCAGAGGGGAGGCCTGTTTGTGCATTCATGTCAGCACAGCTTCCCAGAGTGTATGAACGTGAGCCAGGGGTTCTCCAGACTACAGGGCTGTCTGTCTGATGTGTGTGGACCTCCACCCACCGCGTGTGTCCTCTGTGGGGGTTTCCAACAGACATCTGCACTAGCGCACCTAATAATAATAAGTAACACGGTCATGAAGTGGACTCCCAATTCAAATGGTCTGTGCAGATTGAGATAATTGAATGGTCCCAACAAACCAGACTTCTGTAGGCAATGTAAAGTTAATATTTAAGAACAATGAAACCTGCTAAATCATGCTGTGTATGTGAAAAAAGAGGCAGGTGTACGCTGCACTGATGTGGGCCATGCTCACATGTAGCTGCAGCACACGTTCTGTCAACACGCCTTGGAGACTCATGTGGGAGTGAGTCAGACGTTGTGATTTCAGAAACAAAGAGAGGAGGCCGTTCTAAAGCTGAAATTCTTAGACGTATTAGGCATCAATGAACTCATCAAAGCTTTCATAACAAATGATGTTTTCCTATTCAAACCACTGCACCTCTGACACTATTGTATGAGCTGAATAACATGTGATTTTACCACACAATCAACACATCTATATCAAGAGTGGAGAGTGACACCATTGGCTTGGTTTTAGAATTGATTTAGATATATATTTAGACATATTGTGCATATTATGAAGTAGCTGGCAGAATGTTAAAAGTCCTATTATGCAATATCCCGACTTTACCTGAGGATACCACATTAGTATTTAATTTATAATTGTTTTAAAATCTACTCTATAAACACTGCCACATTATTATGCATTCAAAATGCAATATATGGCAGTATTTACAGTGCTCAAGTAAGGCTCAAGCAAATACACAGATGTGCTTTGAATTTGAGGGCAATATGAATGCTGAAATTTTCAGTCCAGTGAAGATTTATCAACTGAAAAAGCATGGAAAAATACCTCCTAGGGCAGAGTGCACCTCATGACATCACTCGGTGGAACAGAGCTTCTTGAAGTTTTGAGACTTTGAGATTTCAGATTGAATAGTGCGTGATTGCTCCTTTCACATGAATAAACAAAACAAAACACAACTTTTACACAAAGAAACATTTTTTTAAACACAGATCACATTACTTTTTATTATGGTTCATTTAAAGATTTTTTTTTCACAATAACAGAGCTTAATACTTAATAACTGAAAGAATTTGAACATGTAAGTTGATGTATTTTTCTCAAAGAATATGATGTGTGTATATTCTGTTTTAGTGTCTTTAAATGAAAGAGTGTTGGTGACATATTGCAGATGAAAGATCCCGGCCGAGCACATATTTTCGACCCTGTTATCATCGACAGTTGTGGAGCGGCTGTACAACATGTTTTTGGGCGGAAGGCAAATACCCATCTAACCACTGTCTTTAGCTCATATCCACAATCTGGAAACCACAAATTACGTGCAACATGTGTCCAACATGAAAATGGACAAAGAATGAAGGCCTGTTTAGTGTATTTCTCTAGTGTATTTCTCCAGCTTTGGTCACAATGAAGCTTTTATAGTGTATCACATTTTAGGCTGTCAGATTGTTATGCTATTCATATGGCTGGGGGATATGAGAAAATAAAATCATCACATATTATTAAAACAAACAACAAAAAACTAACTTTTTATCAATTCCCATTTAACACAAAAATAGCCATATTTCTTCCACCAAAATCTAAACTTTTTTTTTTCAAAAGACATGCTTTTACAGAGTATTCGCTGTAGATTTCTCTATTAAAAAGAGCCATCCTTATCATGATGATGGTTGAGAGGACTGAATCTCAATCTCTTCTACAGTTTATTTAATTGCAGCGCCCTAACTGACATCAACTGTTTCTGATTAAAACACTGGATGTAATTAGTTAAGGCAAACTTTAATTTGGCCTTCACATTGGTTGGTTTAGTGAAACTCAGTTGAACCTGCAGTGAGAGAGGTAAACAGCATCAGCAGATTGGACACCTGCCCAGGAAACGCTCTTTGAGATGAGTTGAAGCTGAATAACCCCCTAAGCCGTCCAAGCTGAGACTCTGAGGGAGTTGACTTCATTTCCCCTTTTGACCAGTGTGTGTGAAATGTCTGCACCTTTATTCCCACAGCCCAGGAAGTGAAGCAGCCACCTATGAAGGAGTTATTGCTCCACACTTTATGCATCCATCAAGGTAATGAGGTTTTTGGGCCCACAGGTGCACACTTAGTCATTATTGTCACCCCATTCCTAATTACAGCAGATGGCTCTCCCTGCCCTCCTCAGCACTCACCAACTCTACCAACTATTTCAAAACTTTTGTTGACTTTTTGATCTCAAATGGTAAATGGTCACATTTTTATATAGCACTTTTCTGACTTCAAGGCACTTTACATCAAGGAACCATTCAGTCAACATCAGTGTGGGAGTGAGGTGGGTTAAGTGTCTTGCCCAAGGACACAAAGACAGCATTCATCTGTGGGAGCTGGACTCACACCAGCCAACCTGTGGGTCAGTGGATCTGACCTCTCACCAGTAATGTTTATCAAGAGCAGGATTTGAACTATCAACCTTTGAATCAGTGGACAAATACTTTACCAACTGAGCTACTGTCGCCCAAGCAGCCTCTCTCCACATATCAGACCTGCAACTTGGCATGGGGTTAAGACAATTACACTTAAAATGTCTTGTTCTACCTTGTGATGTCATACTGTAGTAGTTTTGAGGTTAACAGCTACCTTTTTACCTTTTGTTCAGTAGAGATGATTGATTCTAGTGAATGTGTATGGAGTTTAAAAACACAGTGGAGCACTTCCTGTATTACCACACGACATCATAAGGTGTCTACTGAGAAGAACTCCGCATAAATGTGCAGGATTTGTGTGTTTGTGTGTTAAACATGTGTAAATAAATCAAAACACAACACCATGAATGCTCGTGATGAGGAAACTTTAAACATTATAACATAGATCAGAAAATTGTGTAATAACGGCTTTAATGCCATCCAGTGGAACATTCCGGACAAAGCAAACAAAAGCAGGTGGCTGACACTCCAAAGTCATCTTTAAGACTTTTCTAAAAAGTCTTTCTTTAGTCGCATGACACTATATGGTACTGTAGGGTGCACTGATAAACACAATAACAAAATGGATACATCCTTTTAATATCGTGTACTTAATTAACACACCTTGAATTCAGTCATTTCACAGCTGTACTGCAACACCAGGGTTTGAGCACGTCCTGGAAGTAATTAAAGCAAGTGCAGCAAATTGAAGTATATTGAACTCATCTCTCACACACACAGCCCTGTCGATAGATCACT